TGTATTATTTTAGTAGAAACATGGCTTAATGAAAATATTTTAGACCCAGAATTAGGTTTACATGATTATATTTTATTTCGTAGGGACAGATGTTTCATAACTAGTACACATCTAAGAGGTTGCGGTGTTTTAATTGGTATAAGAAAACNCCATAACTAGTACACATCTATGAGGTGGCGGCGTTTTAATTGGTATAAGAAAAAATAAATTTGTTATGAGTAGATTGTCTAATACACTATCCGATATCGAACATGTCTTCATTCAATTAAAACTAAACCATACTTTTAACCTAATAATAGGAGCTTGTTACATTCCCCCAAACAGCCCGTTATCTACCTATAATAAACACGTTGAAGCAATTGAAGAAATCTTATCTAATAGCCCTAATGTAAAAGTTATTCTTGCAGGTGACTATAATTTACCGAATGTTACGTTCAGTAATGATAGTGATGGCCTAGTATTTAATGGAGTACATTCCGATAAAGCCAATATAATTTTTGATTGTTANGATAAAGCCGATGTAATTTTTGATTGTTGCCAATTAAATGATTTTCGTCAATATAATAACAACTTCAATAACTCTGGATCACTTTTAGATCTGATTTTTAGTAATATTTCTAACGCCACAGTAACTATAACTAACAACATCTTAGTCCCAATTGATAATTACCATCCAGCTTTAAAAACAGTCTTCGAATTAAACAGTTCTAATGTAAATATTAATTCTACCTATACCACTTGCTTTAATTTTAAGATAGCTAACTATTCGTTAATTTGTTATGAATTAAACAAAATTAACTGGGAACAAAAAATGCATAAATAAAAATATAAATTCATTTTACAATATACTATATGAAATTATAAATAAACATGTACTTAAATTTACAAAAAAAAAAAAACAAAATTTCCTATATGGTTTAATACCAAACTAAAACAATGTATTTTTTCTAAAAAATCTCTTCACGTAAAATTTCAAATTTCAAATGATCCAAATGACTATCGATTATTTTCCGATGCCAGAAGGAAATGTAAATTATTAATGAAAGAATGTTACCGTAATCATCTAATCTACACACAAAATCAATTATCTCTCAATTCGAAATATTTTTGGAGCTATATAAAAAAATTCAAATCTGACAACACTATTCCTAACATGATGCATTATAATAATACAGTGTCTGATAATAGCTTATCAATCGAAAATATGTTTAGATCTTACTTCTCATCAGTTTATAATAAAAACAATTCTGTTATTAATCAAAACATCTCATTGAACAGAATTAATTTAGTAGATATTAATTATTGTTCACTTTCCATTAGTGATGTGTTTGATAGATTATCACAACTAAAACTAGACGTAACATCTGGCCCTGATTCTATCCCTGCTTTGTTTTTAAATTTATGTCGTTATTCCTTAGCTTACCCAGTACACAAACTATTCTCTTTATCTCTAAAAACAGGCGTTTTCCCAAATTCATGGAAATCTAGTTATGTATTACCAATTTGGAAAACCGGAGATCGATCGATTATCAATAACTATAGACCTATTTCTAAGTTAAGTGTTCTACCTAAACTTTTTGAAAAACTCATTGAGCCCAAACTATCAGATATATTGAAAAACACTTTAATAAATGAACAACATGGATTTCGCAAAAATAAATCAATTGATACAAATTTATTAACATTTTTCAACTTTTTAGCTAACACAGTTGGCTCTGGTGGTCAAGTAGACGTAATATATACAGATATAAAAAAAGCATTTGATACGGTTGACCACTCAATTCTTATAAAAAAACTATCCGACTTTGGCTTTGGTGATCCAATTTTATCATGGCTATCCTCTTATCTTACTGATCGAACTCAAATGGTAAAAATTAATAATAAAATTTCCAATGAATTTATTGTATCATCTGGAGTACCCCAAGGGGGTCATTTGTCTCCCTTGTTATTTTTGATTTTTATAAACGATATTTTCCCAATATTTAAATATTGTAAGTTCTTATTATTTGCAGATGATTTAAAATTATATACCACTATTAATTCTATAGATGACATAAATCATTTACAAATTGACTTGAATAGTCTATTTCAATGGTGTTCATTAAATGGCTTAGAGATAAATAGTTCTAAATGCTCATTTATTTCATTTTGTCGTCGCAAAGTAAGAATACCTTCTGACTATAATATTGGTGATTACAAACTACAAAAAGTTTCCCATATTCGAGATTTAGGTGTAATACTGTCAGATGATCTAAATTTTTCTGAACACATTAACATAATATATAATAAAGCTATTCGGAATTTAGGATTTATAAAGAGAAATTGCTCTGAATTTAACGACCCCAATTGTTTAATTACCTTATACATAGCTCTTATTAGATCTACACTTGAATTCGGCTCTATATTTGGAACCCAACTCAAGCCGGCCACAAAAATAAAATAGAAAAAATTCAAAGACGCTTCTTTCGAATGATAGCTCACAAAATAGGTATGGTAGGTAAATCAATCAATGATGTTGCAATCAAATGTCAAATCCCAACCTTAGAATCAAGACGTCTATTTATTGATTTAACATTTATATACAAACTATTAAATAATAAAATTATCTGTTCAGAGCTACTTGATCAAATTTGTTTTAAAATACCAGCTTATAATACCCGATCTCAACAATTATTTTTTACTATTCTAGGTAAAAATAATTTCATTAAATATAGCCCATTAAACCGTATGTTAATGTCTTGTAATAATATTTCCAACTTTGATTTTTTTATGATTGTCCTAACAAATTAAAATGGGTAATAACTAATAACAATCATTCTAACACAAATATTTAATGTTATATTCATAATAATTCATTACTTCTAATTTATATTATTTTTATACTTAATATCTAATTATTGTTCACCTTAATTTTATAAATGTATCACTGTATATTGTTAATTTTTTAAAATTGTATTTATATTATTATATTACTACCTGTACTACATTGCCCTTCGAGGGTGTTATCTTATAAATATAAATAAATAAATAACATTGTGTCTAATGTATAACATGATAAAAAACAACCGTAAAATGAAAAAAATGGAATATAAATTTTAGTACTTATATTAAATGTAATGTAACTAGAAAAATATTTGTTTAAATGAAAAAATATAAGATAATTTTTTTGTTTATAATTATAAATAAAAAAATTGTCTTTTAAACAACTTTTGTACGAAACTTTTTTTATAAGTTAAATATTTTTTGACAAAAATAAAAAAGCTCATATTTTTGAACTTTTGCGAGGCTGTAAAAAAAAATCTCAATATCAATCAATGAGGACTATTAGTATGTCATTATACATATTTTAATTGAACTATTAATAAAACAAAATTTGGTTGGGAATTTCTTAAGAAATTTTTCCTTTGTTGACTGGCCTAAATGTCAATTTTAAACTTTTTTTTTTTAGTAATTGAGCTAAAAGTTATGTTAATATATTCAATTTTTTTTTACTATAAACTTTCATAAATATTTATCAAAAATTTTTCATCAACTTTAAAGAACCAAAAAAATAGGTTAAAAATGAAAATTTGGACTGATTATTTTTAACATATTAAAAATCAAATCAGTAATAATTTGAAAACAATTTTTTTAATTATTTTTTATATGTAATTAGTAATAATATAAAATATTAGAACTGATAGATAAAGTCTAATTGCAGATTTGATAACAACTTGAAAATTTGATTTGGAAAAGTATATTTTTGCTTTTGATGAAAGTTCCTTGAAGTCCAGTGCATTCATTTATAGTAACAAACAGTTTTTATTGAAAATTATTGTATCAAGCTCTTTAAATTTTTATACACGTAAAAGTAAAGCAAAATATAACTTCTTTATTATTTTTATAATTTCTCCGTTTNTTTTTTTTTTTTTTTTGTTACCACAAGTCTCTGTTACTGGATTGATTTTGTCCAAAAATCATTAATCAAATTTATAAGAAGACATTACCTTCAAAATTTGAAAAAAATATCGCTTGTTATATATAAATGAGAAAAATGTCTATATTTAAAATGGTCAAATGTCAATATTTAAAAAAAAAATTTTTTATAAATATATATATATTGAATTTTTAATTGCTCCTAGGAACGATTGAAAATGGAAACTTTTGTATAAAAAGTTAACCATTTCAACTTTTGCAAATTTTGTGGAAATACTATATCCTTTAAACATATGTTAAACTAAAACTTTGATATAAAACTTATATCACATACTAAAAGTCAAAAAAAAAAATTTCCATTTGTTTCTTCTGTATATTATTCTATATTGATTTTTTCTCAAATATTTACATTTTATGTTATCCATTCTTGTATAGTATTATATTTCAAATGCCTCTATTCTTTTAATTTCTTCTTTTACAATGATACAAAGAGTGCATTATTGATGGTAAATAATTATTTTACTTGAAAAGTAATTGAGAGGTTCACTATAGTTGAATCAATCTGTATATTCTAATCTCTATTTTCAGATAACCATAAATTTTATTTTATTACAATTTAATAAGTTTAATATATCTTTATAGTTACATGCATGTTATAATCCCTCTCATGACAAATATGAAAAACATAGAATTCTGCAAGCATTTGAAACAGCTAATTTTATACGTTTAACTTCAGTTGGTTCAGACTTATCTATTTTAGCTGGTGACCTTAACTCAGAACCAAATAATATTTGCTGCAAATTAATTGAAAAGGGATCAAATATGAAAGATTGCTATTCAATGGTAATAAAAAATAATTACATATTTATTGTTACTATTAAACTAATACTGTGTTTTAGCTTTACTTTATTTTACAAACATTAAATTGTTCATCTGAAATGTTGTTTTATTTATCATTTATTAGCTTGTACTTATATTATATATAGTTTTTAATTAGCACTTAAACAGTTTTTTAGCTTCGATGCGAAGCTGAGAAGGTATTAATTTTAACATGATGTGTTTTTTTTGTATCTGTTGCCACTTTTTTTCAGTCTTACTGGACCGATTTTGATGAACAATATGTAGTATTGTAATATAAATTGTATCTAGTTGAATGCATTACCCTTAAAAATTAAAAAAAATTCCCCCGTTCCCTGTAAATAGGGAAATTTCCAAAAAAAAAATTACAATTTTTCAAATCTGTAAATTTTGTCATTTTTTTCACTTTTTTTTCTTAAAACTAGCATAACTTTTTCAAATTAACAAATCAACCTATATTTTTTTTTTATTGAAACCTTAGATATTTGTCTTTCATTTGATTTAAATTTTTTGAAAATCTGACCCTTTACCTACCCACAGTGGGGGATTTAAAATAGCAACTTCTGCACAAAAATTTAACTTTTTCAACTTAAGTTTTGAAAATGTTCCGGAAATACTCTGAGCTTCAAACATATGTTAAAATAAAGTTAATGACATGTACTATAAAATGAAAAAAAAATTTGTCGCGATAACTTATCTTCTACGTGCAAACAGCTGCCGTAGTTAAAAAAATGCTAGTTTTGTGTTAAAATTTTCGATTTTAAATTTTCAACTTTAAATTGCTATAACTTTTTGAATAATGTATATACCAACACACATTTTTTTTTCTAAATACATTATATATACTTCTTTCATTGTACATATTTTTTATTTAAATTGGAAAATTTTCCTTTATACAGGGGACTTTCAAAACTTGAAAAAAAAGTATAAAAAGTAGATCTTTCTCAACTTAATTTTTGAAAATGTTCTGGAAATGCTGCTTTAAATTAAAACTTATAATAAATACTAAACGTTAAAAAAAAAAAATTTCCTGACACCTTTTCTTCTATAGGAAAATGGCCGTCGAATTTAAAGAAACTTATAATTTTTATGTAAAAATCACTGTTTGACGTGAAATATTTAAATACTTAAAACTACCATAATTTTTTAAAAATGAACAAATTAAAATTATTTTTTTTATATTGAAACCTTAGATATTTTCCCTTCATTTGATATAATTTTTTTGAAAATCTTACTCTAAACCTGCCCGCAGGGGGAATTCAAAAAAACAATTTTTGCACAGAAGCTTTTTCAATGTAATTTTTGAAAATATTCTGGAAATATTGACCCTTATATTTAAACTTAACTTAAAGTTTATATTATTACTTAGAATAAAGTTCATAAGACATAAGAAGTTAAACTTTTAAAAATTTTTTTGCTTTTTTAAAGTCAAAAAAGTAACATTAAATTTGAATTAGCTTAAATTCCCAATTTTATTAATTGGCGAAAGCGACGAACAGTTCTGTAAATCGATAATACTTGTGTCTTTCACTATTAGGGTATCAGGTTTGAATACGCCTGTGGCAATTAATATTTTACATTTTTTTTAAGTTTCTTATTTATGTTAATATTATTTTAGTATGTGGTTTTTTTTGTGGTAGCGATTTCTTTTTCCAACCCTCAATTAACCTACTTTTTTCAACAATATGACAAATGATTACAATTCGTATTTAATTGGTGATATTACCCTCAAAAATTGAAAAAAATTCCATTAATCAAATAAAAAGTACCTAAACAGCTTAAGCCATACAAACAATTAAAATGATTCATTTCTAATATTTTTAATGTATTTATTGTCGAATTAGATTTGATAAGATGAAAATATTCAACTGCAAAAGTAAATAATTTTACTTTGTAATTTATTAATTTTTTAACTCTATTTGTGTGTATTACTACCAGTCTATAACATTCCAAATTTTTGGAATATTATAGACTGTTAATATTCCAAATTTTTTGGTATCATGTTGCTATATAAAACATAAATCTAAAAAAAAAATTACTATAGTAATAAATTCATTTTTTTTTTATAAACTTTCACTTTAAAGAACAATAAAAAGTAGGTTAAAAATGATTACTTTTAACTTATTAAAAATCAAAATCAATAATAATTTGAATACAATTAATATTAAAAATTATATAATATATAATTAAAAAAATATATTTTATATTTTTGAATGTAAAAATTACTAATCTGGAAATAATTAATCAAACCAATTTCTTAGAATTAAAGACTATATACAGATTTGCATTGAAGCGTTTCTTATGATAGTGATTTTAATCACTGTCAGATTAAATCTATACTGGACTCTACTATGCCGCGACCGCACTGTGCTGGGTTTTTTTAATAATTTTTTTTTTGGTAGCATCCTCTTTGACTAATTTATCATCTCGGTACGGCTGATATTTTTATATTTAACTGCATTACAAGATAATTCATGATATTTTAGCTTTTTCTTATATTGTTTCAGTGTGTAACAAATAAAATTGAGTGGACATTTAATCATCCAAGAAATTCTTATAAAAACACTAAAGAACCTACTTATCGAATTGACTATATCATGTATAAATCAAATGAAAATAATATAGTAAGTAAATATATTAAAGGTGTTAAGAATAGAATTATTTTTGTCATCCATTTATATTTCTTCTTCTTTTTCTAAAGACTATGCCTTGTCATAGCTTTTATGTCTTGGGGAAATTAAGTGCAGTGGTTTACCGTTGCCTTTTGCACTGGGAACATAGTGCTTTTTCGCCACTATAGAAGTGCATGCATGGTCATCCATTTGGTCAACTACGGCGGTAGGCGCGGCTTAACACCATTTATATTTAAATATAAAAAATAATCAATGATATTTTTGAATATATATCACTTGCTTTAAAGAATTTTGTTTAACATTTTCTGCATAAAAATTAGTTAATATAAATCGAAACAAGGGAATTATTTTGATTACAAAAATAATTTTCATTTAATTAGAGTTTTATAATTATGATGAGATAGACATATATTTTATTATTAATCATATACATTACTTTTTGTTTCTTCGGTGCCAAAACTCATTAGTAATTATTTTTTTAACTTGTTAAAAAAACCATTCAATGTACAATCATATAATCTCAATTTTTTTAAGATAATGTAAAAAATGGTATTTTTCACTTAAAGACAGTCTTTATAAAAACAGTTAATCATGTAATTATATATTAATGAATTATTATTTAATCACAAATTTAAAATTAAATTGCAAAAATAAATAGTTACTTATTTAACCTATTAAGCTGAGAATTTTAGTTGAGTTGAGTTGTAATAAAATTAATTTAATCAAAAACATAAAATATTAAACCATAGCATAATTAGTTTATCAATAAGAATATACAGTTTAGACGATCTCTATTTAACAGTGTATAAATAAATAATAATTATAACTATTATAATACAAAGTATGAGTGATATTATAACGAAAAACTCGGGTAGAAAAAGATTAAAAAATAATAGTATTACAATAGCCCTAAATAGTATGATATTTAGTTTGCATCTAAAGTTTATTAACTATAAATATTATGTTAAAATTGAATTATAATAGTTTAATTTAGCTGACAACTTTAAAGTACATAATAGTTATAAAATAATATCACAACTTTTAGTATTTTTATTTTATATTTAGCGTTTTTATAATAAATTAAGAGGAGTGTTGGGATTAAATGATTTGTCAGAATTAAAAATATTTTTATTTTGGTTTTTATTAAGTTTTCTATGTCAATAAATAATAGCAGGAAAACTTCATTCAATTATATACCATGTAATATATAGGTTCAAGTAGAAGAACACAGGCATTCATTACCGCCTCGAATACCTGGCATCAATATCAGTTATTCAGATCATGAATCAATTGAAGCAATTTTTAAAATTTCTTCTAACAAAAAAAATTTTAAAGACGATTTGCGAGATGATAAAAGTAATATTTATTTTATCTTATAATGTAGTTATATATATATATATATATATATATAGCATGTATATACATCTGTTTCATATAATTAAATAATTAAAAATAAATTTATAATATTAATTAAAACTAAAAAAAATGATAAAACAATATTATAATACCATTATCATGCGTCAGTATTATAAGTGTTGACAATGGTAGTATTGTTATTGAATTATGTATTGGGGATTTTTTAGTAATTTTTGTAGCATTTAAGTTAAATATTTTTATATTATTTTAGTTTTGTATTAATATTTTAAATCTTAAATGAGTAATATTATTTCTTAAATATTTGTTAAGTTTATCACTTATCCCTTACAAATGTATAAAATTAATTTTTTATATGGCTACAGATACATATATTACTAGTTTAAATTAATGATGGGAAATATCGAATAGTAACTATCAAACTATTCGATTGTCATTCAAAAACTATTCGAATAATAAAAATATTCGATAGTCGATGCTAAAATTAACTATTCGGTTGTATAAACACAATTCGAATAGTTAATCGATAGTTTAAAATATTTGAAAATACCCATCACTAATCTTGCTATTATTAATTGATAATAATTCATTTTAAGTATTCGTTAATTATCTTCTTATTATAATTAAGTGTACTTAATAAAAATTTTAAATAGAACTAATCTAATATTTTTTGAAATCATTCGGTAGCCCATTCGAATAGTTTTAAAAAACTATCGAATACTATTTGATAGTTTTAAATAATCCAAAATGCCCATCATTAGTTTAAATATTAGAAAATGTCTGATTGATAACAATTTTTGAACCATTATTTCAAAAGTTATGAAGAGTTTTAAATATAGACTGGTGATGAAGTATGGGTTATGTTATTTTTATTATTGTCTATTTTTGTGCTGCATATTCCTCCCACTAAGGTATAAGAATATTATTATTATTATTATTTTAAATTATAAACGGGTAAAAAAAAAACCCTTTTACATAATGTGATAGAATAAATACAATAATTTCTTAGTTAACATAAATTAAAACATATTCATAAGTTTTAAATGAATGGTTCAGTTATTATTAACCAGTTATTTCCTATGTATAGTGACACGGCCCGTGTCGCTTTGTTATACACGATGCCCCGCGACTCGTGCCACCTTTATCAGCCGTCGCCCTACTATGAATATTTGACTGACCAACACCGCGTGTTCTACGCTACGGTGCAAAGTCCAGCAAATGCTGAACGGCCGACGACGACCCGCCGCAAATAATGCAAGAGTCTTCTTCCCTTTGTGTAAGCGACAACGTCGAACAACCGATCCGTACCCGCGCACCGTCGCCTACAACGCTGCTAACCTTTTGTCGCCCAAGCATCACGCCGGACATCGTGTCGTCGACGCCAGCGAAAGTGCCGCAATATTATGCGAAGATTTTTATTATTGTGTTTATCTTTTCGGTTTGATTTATTTTTTGTTAAAATAACCTGTTGTCGCTCATTTAATAAACGACCCACGGGTCTCTACCCTCATAACCAGTGTCGACCACATTTTTGCGACTTACGTCGTGTCAATAGGAAAAACTTTGAAAAGTATTATTTTCTCAAAATAAACAATTTTACAGTTAGGAACATTATTTGACGGCGGCAGGGAGAGCATTCCCCATTTTTACTTTTAGTTCTTAGGGGTTCATTTAGTATTGTGGCAAAACTATTTTATGCCTCATTAAAAAAATAGTGAAATGTTAAGCAATATGAATAAATTATCAATTTTGCTTATGAAATTGGGATTTGAGTTAATTAATAAAAGAAAGAGCAAATGTGGCTATGATGTAGATAAGCAAACATTTTTGAAAGGAGATAGTTGAAAATTATCTTTTTTTCACAATTAGGTTTTGATTTTTGTCTCTGATAGTGCAATGTTGAAATTAATTTTTTTTAAATCTCTGAAAACAGAAAGTATTGCTTTTAATAATGATGTGTTCTGTAGAATTATTGACTGTTACTAAAAACTTAACTTCATTGGACTAATATTGCGAATCAATTCGCCAATTTAACTTTTGAACTTTTCGAAAATACTGTATCTTTTAAACATAATTTTGCATACTTAAAGTTATTCTTCATTAAGGATATTATATTAGTAATTTAGTTAATATTATAGTTAAATTAGTGAGTTAATAAAACTATTAATTTACATTACTGTATAACAATGAATACATTTTATTTATTATATATTTAGTCTCTTCTTCTTCTTCTTCGCCTTATCCTAACTACTTGGAGTCGGTTGCCCTTATCCTAAACTTCCACTTGGCATGATCACCCACATCATTTACACTCACATCAGCCGTCCTCATATAACATTCCATAACATCCATCTATTTCTTTTTTGGTATTCATCTACCTCTTCTTCCTTCAAACATTTATTTCTATAACTGTTTATACAGCTTCCGATTCTTCTCTCCTCATAACATGACCAAACTATCTAAGTCTATTTTCTCTCATCTTATCTACAATTGACGCTAAACCTATATTCCCTCTTATATGCTCATTCCTTATTCTATCTTTTCTAGTCACTTCACTCATCCATCTAAGCATTTTCATTTCTGCTATATTCATTCTCTGCTCTACTTTCTTATCAACTGCCCAACACTCTGAACCATACATCATAGCTGGCCTTATTACAATCTTGTAGAATTTACTTTTCAGCCTCATTGGAATTCTTCTATCGCATAAGACGCCAGATGCTTCTCTCCACTTCAACCACCCGCACTTATTTCTGTGTTTTACATCATCGTCAATACCACCACTCTTTTGCACAACTTTTATTATACAGGGTGGCCCACCACTCACTGACAACTTAAATAACTTTTGATCCAGTTAATATTTTTAGCTGATTTTTTTTTTAAATAATAGTTATACGTTAGGTCTATAGCTATATCTCAATAATTAATTTTTTTACATTTTATTAAAAATATTAATTATTTTTAAATTTTAAATAAAATGTAAAAAAAAAATCTAAGATAGCTATTTTGTAGAGTAGAATTTAAGAAAAATTTTAGTAAAAAAATATCTTATTAATTAAAAATATTAACTGGATCAAAAGTTATTTAAGTTGTCAGTGAGTGGTGGGCCACTCTGTATATTTAGTGATGTAAAAATTTTATTTTTGAGAGATATTATACATATATTATATTCTTTTTAATTTCACCAATTATTTAAAAAAGATTAAAAAGTGTAAGTTTTACTTATCTTTTATGTATTACTGTATTTTTTTTTTTTTTTGTGAAATTTTTATTTTCAACTTAATTTTTTAAAAAAGTTTACAATATCGAAAATTCAATTATTTTTTTATTGATAAATAAAAAAATTTTTATACATAGTACTTTATACCTTAAATTTGGATAAGAATCTTACTTGAATCATATTTTTATGATCTATTTTATTCACAAATATCATAATTTTTTAAACTCCTTTACCCGTTATCTTTAAAAATATTTATGTAAAAAAATTAGAGTAATTTAAACTAGTGAAATTCCCAAATGATTTGTTTCCTTTATAAAATTTAATGATCATAAATTGATAAAAATATTTTATTTACAGAAGAATTAATTAAGGATGATCTATTCAAAATAATTCAAATGTCTCAACTAAAATTGAATGAACATTCAACAAACAATCTAAGTTTTGTATTATTATTATTATTAGGTATAGCTTTAAGTTCTTTGACTTATTTTAAAATCTTTATTTTTTCATATTGTAATTACATATTTGTTATGTTAATTTTTACTGTAATACTTGCTTGGATTTATATTTATGTTGTGAATTCAATTGAAAAAAATTGTATCAAAGGATCTTGTTCACAAATGAAAACAGTTTTTTGCTTAAATGATAACTAAATTTTTTTTAAATAAGATAGTTATAATTAAAATTTTTAATTTTAAGGTATTATTTTACTATTATGTGTGTTTTTTTTTTGTGTTTGTTACCACTTTTTATTTGCTCTCACAGGACCAACCATTATGTCAAAAGATCACAAATTCTATCCAGTCGAAGACAAAATTGAAAAAAATTTCCTTCGTTTCCCATAAATGGAGGTAATCTCCAAAAATTTACAAATTTAAAAATCGCTAGTTTTAGACATTTTTTCAATTTTTTTTACTTAAAACTTCCATAGTTTTTTTAAAAATGACCTATAATTTTTTATTCTTTTTATAAATTTTGACCCTTTATTTATCCACAAAAGGTAATTCAAAATGACAACTTTTTCAACTTAACTATTGAAAGTGTTCTGGATATACTGACACTTTTATATATATTTAAAATTAAAGTTTATGTAATATTCTTAAACAATATAAAATCTAGAAAGGTTCAATATTTTGGACATATGCTGAGGGGCAAGAAATATCAACTCTTACCATTTATTAATACAGAGGAGAATTTGAAGTAAGAGGAGAAAGGGAACACTTAGAACAAACTGACTGTACATTTTTGGAGAGTGGTTCCAATGCAACCTTATAGCCATGATGATTTCCAAACTTCGATAAAAGAGGAACATTAAGAAGAAGTAATATTCTTTAATATGAAAAAAGAATTCGGACTTTATTTTGTTTTCATGGTGAAAACAAACATCAAAGTTAATATAAAAAATACGATTTTTGTAAAAAAGTTCTTTTTTATATTTTTAACTTTAAAATGCTAAAACTTTTTGAAAAATGTATGGATCAATACAAATTTTTTATGATTAATACTATTTATATACCTCTTTCATTCGACATACTTTTTGTATAAATCAAACCATTTTTCTTTATATAGGAGTAGTTCAAAACTTAAAAATGCGTGTAGAAAGTAGAACTTTTTCAACTAATTTTTAATTCAAATATATTTATTTATTATTCATACATTACCTAATAATCAAACAAATATTTGTTATATTGATTAAAAGGTCTTTTATATTATTTAAGCCATATGCGAAACTGTTGAATGGAATAGGTTATGTAATTAAAAGATTTAGAAATTATTTGTAATATAATAGTATTTAATATAAAATGTTAAAACATATTATATAAGAGATGTACAACGTCAACGGGTCACTACTCGATAGACGGTGAAACTACGACTAAACTGTAAACATGTTACAATAGGCTACATTGAGTAAAACAACATAATCGTAAAAGGAATGTGTCACTTTGACCTTGTACTATACTAACATAAGTAAAAATACATTAAACTGTTATCTTAAATAATATTTCTGTACCCAGTGTGTTGTTTAATAATATCAACAGAAACACTAAATACAAATTTGAAATTAGCGCAAAAATAGGTTTAGAAAAGTATATTTTGGTCCTGATGAAATTTCTTGTAGTAACCAGTAAATTTATTAATAAATAACAAACAACTTTTTTTTTAAGTATGGTATCGAAACCTTCAAATTTATATACATCTGCCATAAAAATAAGAACTACTTTATAATTTTTTATGATTTCTCCGTAAAAATTACAATATTAAATTATTAAATAAATTCAATACTATATTTAAATGCTATAATAAATATTTAATCATGTATTACAATTATAAATCATAATACTTGTAATTAGGATATATATAAGGAAATAGGAGATTATATTGCTTTTGGAATAATCCACCAATTTTTTAAAATTAAACACTACAAATTTGCATAGATACGTTTTTTATGATATTGATTTTAATCACTGTCAGATTAAATCTTTATTGGGCCCAATTGTGCTAAGACCCCTTATTATTTTAAACAACCCAGCACAGTGGGTAAATTTATTTTTTCATAATAAAGTATTGCATTAGCTTTAATTTAAGATATATATAAAAGTGTTAGTATTTCTGGAACACTTTCAAAAGTTAAGTTGAAAAAATAAATTTTTTGTGAAAAAGTTGTCATTTTGAATCACCTTTTGGGGGCTTACCTGCCAAAAAAAAAAAAAAAATGGAACATTAGTAAATTTATATTTGTAATTTTTTTGGATTTTCTCCTATTTACGGGAAATTTTTTCGATATTTTAGGGTAATGTCTTCGACTAGATACAATTTTGATTTTTTGACGGATAGTTAAAAGAAATTGGTTCGGTGAGAGCTGAGAAAAAGTGGTAACAGACACAAAAAAAAAAAAAAACAAATCATAGTAAAAGCAATACCTTCTCAGCTTCGCATCGAACCTAAAATGTAAAATATAATATCAAGAATTTTTTCACAAAAATAGCATATTTTTGCACACGGTAGTAATTTTTTCCATGAAGACAAGTCCAGGGTCAAATTTTTTTTCAAATTACAGTATATTACATAGGCTTTAGTTAAAGATATATATAAAATCCCATGTTCTCCATACAGACAATTAAAATCATTCATTTCTAATGTTTTCAAAATATTTATTAACGAATCAAGTTTGATATGATAGGTTTCAACTACAAAATTAAATCATTTTACTTTGTAATTTCATAATACTTTACTGTATTTGTGTGTGCTTATACTAGACTATAATATTCCAAATTTTTTGTTAACATGTTATATAAATCATTTCTAAAAATAAATGATTGTTAATTTCTCGTGAATTAATAATGGATTTTTACAATTATAATCAAATTTTATAATACGCTCAATTGAATAAATCTTTCTAACAACTTTATTTTGATTGGTTCATTTAGTTAAAGTAAATCATTAAAATTAATTAAGTTCTCAATATTTCAATTGTAGAAACTTTTCAAACAACAAAAGTTACTAGGAAATTATTACTATTACTTCTATTTAAGTTATCTATTGTAGTAATTAGATGAGGAAGTATTGAATTACGTCGATTTTAGTATAATATAAGCTTTACAATAGTAGTAAGCAATTTTTGAACTCTTAAGCAATATAATAATTCCATATAAAAGGGAAATGCAGGGTAAGCAAATTAATAATGGTGGGAAAAAGAATATAACAGGGAAACATGAAAAGTATAGGGGGACGATACTGGGCGTGACGAGACTGGACGTTTTGTCGAAGAAACGTCGAGTTACGGGTTAGGTCGTTGATGTAAGAATAACTTTATACTTTTGTAAGATTTAATCAATTTTTGTGTTAAATTTTTATATTATATTTGACTTTGTGTTTAATACATTTTGTAAATAAAATAACTATTTAGAAATCTGGGCTTAGCGCAAATATTTTATATTCACGGTGATCTCGAAATTTGTGTGTGTGTGTGCGGCTAGAGTCTAGGTTGGACTGCTGGTCCTTTAGTCAATCTTAATAATTAGTGTACGAGCTGGCTAGTGTTTGGGCTTAACCGTCCTTTAGTGGGTATAGTAAAAAGGTAGTTGTGCTGGTGGCTGACAAGGAGCCAACCTTCAGTCTGCTACTTTTGAGCTAGACTGTGCTGACGGGTCTAAACTCTACCCCTTTAATAGTCCACTAATTAGAGAGATTGGGGCTGATCAGTTTATCCAACGGGAGGACTCGAGAAGAGCTCGAACGATGAACTCGTCATCAAAATATATATATAAAACATTCATAAACTTTTGTGTCTACGTTGGGGCACTACCGACGTACGACACTATTACGATAAAAATGCAAAAAAATATTGAGCTTTTCTGATAAATTTACAATAAATAGTAATTATAAAACTTTCTGACTGCATATTAATCTTAACGATACAATTTTTTTAATACTGATAAAATTTTCTATTTAATGATGTCAATTTCAAACTTGCCAATTGAGCTAAAAGTTATGGTAAAATAAATTTTTTTTTTTTATTATAAACATTTACAAAAATTAACTTTAAACGATTAAAAAAATAGGTTTAATATGTCATTTTCCTTAACACATTAATAATCAAAATCAGTATTATTTTTTTTTGTTATTAATTATTTTTTTTAATATGTAAATACTATTTTTTAATAATATTAAAACTTAGAAGTGATAGAAAAAGTCTAATTGCACATTGGAAAATATCGCGAAAAGTTGATTTAGAATATTATATTTTTGTTTCTGATTAATGTTCCTTGTAGTCCAGTGTATAATACTTATAACTTTGTTAACTGTTATGACTTTATCAAAAATGACCATATCAGTATAATTATTTTTTATTTAGATGCATGTTTTTACCTATCATTTGGTTTTTTTTTATAAATCTAACTCTTTACCTGCCCACAAGAGGGATTCAAAATGATAACTTTTTTTTTTTAGTTAAAGTAAATCATTAAAATGAATTCAGTTCTGGATATTTCAATTATAAAATATTTTTAAATACCAAAAATTACTTATAAATGATTACTATGATTTCTATGTATATGTTCTATAACGATAAAAATACAAAAAAATAATGAGTTTTTCTGATAAATATACTGTAAATAGTAATTATAAAATTTCCTGACTGCATATTAATTTTAAAAATTCTTTTAATTTTCATAAAAACTTCTATTTAATGATGTAAATTTCAAACTTGTAATTGAGCTAAAAGTTATGGTTTGATAACAACGCGAAAATTTGATTTGGAAAAGTATATTTTTGCTTCTGATGAAAGTTCCTTGTAGTCCAGTGCATTAATTTATAGTAACAAACAGTTTTTATTGAAAATTATTGTATCAAGCCCTTTAAATTTTTATACACGTAAAAGTAAAGCAAAATAGAACTTCTTTATTATGTTTATAATTTCTCCGTTTAAATTACAATATTAAATTATTGAATATCAATTTCATACTAAATTTAATAATTATAATATATTATATTTTAAAATCAAAGAACTACTAATCAGGATATAATTAAAGAAATAAGATATGATTTAATTTGTTTTAATAAGGAAATAGCAGATCATGTAGTTTTTTGAATAATCCACCAATTTCTCTAAATTAAACACTATCTACAGATTTGCATCGAAGCGTTTCTTATAATAGTGATTTTAATCACTGTCAGATATCATCTATACTTGTCCCATCTATGCCTCGTCTACACTGTGCCTCGACCCCACTGTGCTACAGTTTTTTTGTGTTTGTCACTCTTTTTTTTAGTTCTCACTGGACCGATTTTTCTCAACGATATGTCAAAAGATTACAAATCGTATCTAGCTAAAGACATTACCCTCAGAAATTGAAAAATTTTCCCTCATTCCCCATAAATAGTGAAAATCCCCCAAAAAATTACCATTTTTAAAATCGTTAAATTTTGGGATATTTTTCATTTTTTTACTAAAAATTTCCATAACTTATTGAAAAATGAACTTATCAAAATAATTCTTTTTTATATTAAAACCTTAGATATTTTCCTTTCATTTGGTATAATTTTTTTAAAATCTGACCCTTTACCTGCCCACAGAGGGGGATTGAAATTTGCAATTTCTGCAAAAAAATTTCACTATTTCAACTTAAGTTTTGAAATTGTTCCAAGTATACTCCGAGCTTCATACATATGTGGAAATAAAGCTTATGTTGTGTACTATATGTTCAAAAAAAAATTTTCACGAAAACATATCTTCTATGTGAAAATGGTTGCCGTAGATAAAAAATATGTAATTTTGTTATTAAAATTTACGATTTCATATTTTATTTTTTCAACTTTAAATTACTATAACTATTTGAAAAATGTATGGATCAATACAGTTATTTTTTCATAAATATTTTAATTTACTTCTTCCATTTGATATACATTTTTTGAAAACCTGACTTTTGGCTTAACCACAGGAGGGTTTCAAAATAAAAATTTTTACACACAAGTTATATAAACAAATATTATATAAAATTTATTGACATAGAATATAAAGTTATAATAATTGTCTGCGACAATTATTTTTTTGCAATTTTTCCTTTATTCTTTTTGAGTTTTGTTTTTGAATAATCCACTAATTTCTTAAAATTAAACACTATATAGTAATACAAAAATAACAAAGATGTTTGGGTATTTTTGACCAAGGTTGGATATTTGGGAATTTGGTCAATTCAGGAGCAACGAGGGTTTAGAACAGTAAAGACAAGTAGATATAAAAAGATATGTATTAAGTTACTCTCATAGAGGTATTAAACGCTGAAGTATTTTTGTAGTGGCCGGGATCTTGGCCTCCTATCTGACATCCAGTCGAAGCGTGACGTTAACTGGTATGTGCTTTAGTGGAAATACTGAGGCGTTCATGGAGTTGCGGAGGCCTCCTCTCAGACACCCAGTCGGAGTATATGACCAAGCACTAACTAATTATTAATAATTAAATTAAATTATGTTTAAAAGAATCTATTGCTTTACCATTCTTTACTCAGATTATTAATTCTAAATAATTGGGTTAATATGAATTGACTTACTTTATTAGATATCTTACGTTCAGATTTATACAGTTCCTTTTAAATAAATAAAGTATTGACGCAAAATAATTGTATTCGATACTGTTTTAAAATGTATCGACGACAACACGGAGTCGCGGCTAGTTTGATCAAAATAAATAGATAGAACAATTCTGAATTCTTTATTGAATTCAGATTTTCAAAAAGGAGAGAGAGAGAGTGAGCCTCTTTTAGAAAATCAGCGCCTTTTTATATTATTTTTAAATATCCCCATCATGGGTTGTTGCCGTTAGCGCTTTTAGTGATTTTCAGTTTATTGTATAAAATTTGAACATAACATGATAGTTATTTTAAGATAAGATGCATAGTATACAATAATCAATTTAACATGTATATACATAATAAGCTATTATATATTATATATTATACAGAGTGTTCAGTAAACAAGGAAACGAATTTCTATTGTACTCATTGTTTGTAACAATTTAACTGTATCTTAACTTACTGAACACCCTGTATAATAGCTAGTGTACAAATGTGTATATATTATGACAGATAAATAAATTATTTGTTTGTATACAATTAGTATTAAATATAGAGTAATAATTTTTTATTGATAAATGTAAGATGAGTAATGGAGAACATTGTGCATATTACGACAACTATCTACAGATTTGTATCGAAGTGTTTCTTATGATAGTGACTTTAATCACTGTCAGATATCATCTAAACTAATCCCAACTATGCCGCGACACTACTGTGCTAGGATTTTTTTATTATTTATTTTTGTTAATTTTCTTGAAAATTATTTGTCAAAAAAGACGAACTTAATAAAAGGTATCCCCTTGATATTAAAACGATTGTTTAAATTATCTTCTTTTCAAAAGAACATTTGTTCTCATAACTTCCAAAATCTGTGATAATGTTTATACCTACGAAAATATTTAATTATTTAAAGTCTAAAATAATATTTGAAAGTCTATAGTAATTTTTATAAATATTTTTTACTCATCATAATGGAGGAGTGCATACTTGTATCTAACTAAATGTTTCTAGAATCCACACATGACTCAGTTACAAATATGTTGACCTTAAATTAAAATAACTTTAAAGTTTATAAATGTGTTGATGTTTTTATATAATAATTATAATTATTTATTTGTACTGTCTATATGAAGTACAAAAAAAAAAAAAATGAAAATGTTTTGTGTATAAAATACAAATACTATTAAAAAGTATTTAATATATATTTTTCTAAAATTATTACAAATTTTCAGAATACCAAAATTAGATTTAAATATAAGTATTTAGATATTTTAACAAGACTATAGAAAAGTGATGAATAGATATTTTTAAAAATTTATTAATGAATACATTCATGAAACTTCCGACCTGACTTTAAAATTTGTTCACTCAGTTTTAAATCCAGTCGAGAACATACTAAAATAAACAAAGATTTCATCATTTTTTCTTTTATCTGGTACATGTATTAATAATTTAGTATATACGTTTTTATACTATTAATCAAATAAATAATTTTATAATCAAGAAGCCTCATATATATATACACCAGTTATAGGTTCAAATTAAGAAAGACTTAGAGGGGCTAGACACTTCAAAATTTCAGAAAAATTACATATATTCATATATATTTTTGTTGAAATTACGTCTTTGTTACAAATTTAACAAAATTTGTATTATAATTTTGGCAACTATTCGCAGTGTTAAAACTATAAAAGTACAATTTGAAAAATATTAATTTAAATTTTTTATCTCCTACTAGAGATAAATAATCCTACTAAAGAATTATTTCGTTTTAACGTTTAAATTCAAGTAAATTTATAGAAGCTTATATCATTAAAAAGAAAATATTAATTTGAGAACAATTAAGTCGTTCAATTGCAAAATCGAAGAAACATTTTTTTTTAATTTTGCTTTTTCTTGATGGATTTGCTAATAATAATTAAAAATGATAAAGAAAAATAATGAATATTATTTTTTGAACATATGAGTGTTTGAAACAGAATGACTCAGTTTTACCGAAATTTCAAAAATAAATAAAATTTAGTTTTGGCAGAATAAGTTGTCTGATAAGTTTTTTTATATCATTGCAATGACAGAATGTATTTTTTTATAAAAGGTCAGGACACTATAGCAAAAGAAAAATATTATTACCTACGATTTAAAAGTGATATAAAGGAATAAGGGTAAAACACCCCCACTCGAGTGGTGAACATCTGTCGATGGAAAGGCAGTCCATTGGTTCTCAGACGATCTTCAAGATCCTCAAGTAAAAAAAAACCGTTACACACGTATAAATAATACTTTGATTCGTTAGTACATTTATACCTATGTTTATACATATATATATATATATAAAAGTAATAAGTAGTATGTCCCTAGTTCTATTACTATCTATATTATTATTAAAGATAGTATGTAACATGTTATATGCTTTAGTAGTCCACACTGGTCGACAACACGAGATCTATTCTGTTCTTTGTGTGTAGAGCCTTGTACGTGCGGTTGCTCCGTGTCCCAACTACCTATCCGCGCTCCCATCGATTGCTGTTAAGCGGGTCTGTGGCGTGCCTTCTACGTTCTTGTAGGCATCGCAGCAACCAGTTTTGGTTCAACAAGTTTATCCGACCGGCGTTTCGTACACGAGTGTATACCAATACGTGTATGCATGGTGTATCTCCGAGCATACTCCCACCGCTGGGTTTCCGTATGTTACTGCTGCTGACTAGGCATTGTAGCACACATATTTGGTCGTTTTTTCCTGTATACCCTAATAAAATAGCCGCCAACAAAATTCCTAAGTGCGTCGCCGCGTTCATTAAAACGATTTTCGTTAAAATTTTGATGATTACGTGAAGTAACAGTGCTAAAATGTTTGTAATAATGTTATTTCGATATATTTGATGAATTTATTGATTTAAATTTAACGCATTTTTAGAGAACTTGATTTAATGTAAAAATCTTGTGTATGATTTTATCGTGTTCAGTGATTACGATAAATTATCAACTATTGACAGACTGGAATATTGGATTCAGTTATGTCACTGGTCGTTAAACTTTGATAACCATAGTGGGTAAGTTAATTAAACTTTTATATATACTTATATTTGATATAGCTATTGTAACAAGATTATAAATGGTAACCATTTAATTTTTTTCTTGTTAATCTTTTGTAATATTCACTCTATATAGGTTTTATTTGTGTTGTTTTATAGTTTTAAACAAAATTATATTCTTTAAATGTAAATATTATTTTTTAGTTTAAATAAAATAAATTGTGGTAAATATAGACACGATTTGAATTTTTATATTTAAAAAAATTAATAAGCTGATTGATTATTTTAAATGTCTTAATAATTTTTATACATTCTTACTTTATGCTTGAAATCAAAACGTACAAAATATTTTTAAATTTATGCTCCATAAAAAAATAAATAAAATTTATGTTCTTTAAAATGTTAGTTACCTTGAATTATAACTAACTTTTATAAAAATATTTGTGTGATTATTTTATCAAGTAATATGTAATTCAAGTTTGACTTATTATTCCTTTAAAAGATTTAAGATCGTTTAGAAGGAAAATAAACATATGTATGTACAAAATACTTTGTACTTATAAAGGTAGTAAAATTAATTAATATATTAGCCATATTCTTCAACTACATTTTAGTTTTGATACGAAATTAAGAATGTATAGAAGGTCTACTATAATGTGTCTTTTTCCTATTGCCACTTTTTCTTAGTTCTTACTTTACGATACGTCAAAGAACACTTAAACGTATCGTATCTAGTCAGTCATTACCTTCAAAAATTTTAAAAATTTCCCTCTCTAAAATGGACTTTTACTTCCACACAATGAAAGATTCAAATAGCAACTTTTGTTAGGAAAACCTTTTCAACTTTATTAATTTGGTGTAAAAAATAAATGTTTCAAGTTGTTATTTTTATTTAAAACTACTGTAACATTTTGAAAAATTAATAAATTAAAACAATTTTTTTTTTTTTAATTATTTTAGATATTTCCTTTTTATTTAGTATCATTTTTTTAGGAATATGATTCTTTATCTGGCCACAGGAGGTTAAAAGCTGTAAGTTTTAATTTCATACTAAATATTATTTCTATAATACGTGTTTAATCATATATTATTCTTATTTATCATAAATCTAGTAATCAGGATATGATTAGGGAAATTTAAATTGATGGTACATTGGAATAATCCAACAATTCCTTTTAAAAATTAAACTAAATCATCTGATTTTCATTGTACCATTTTTTGTGATAGTGATTTTAATTACCATCAGATATCTTATATATTTGTACACATTATGCAGTACTGTTTAAGTTTTTAAATTTTTAAAAGTACTAGCAACCGAAAATTGAATAATAAGGTTTTAGTTTAAAACCCTACATTTTATCTAAACCTTTAAGATAAATTATTGAATCATCAATAAGGAAAATACTTTTTTACAAATATATAAATTAGTTTCCTATAAGAATATAGAATAAAAAAAAAAAATTTGAAAATGAGGTTTGAGGCCAACCCAACCCTACTTGGCTCTTTCTCAAAAGTACGTTATTTCCCATAATAGATTCACGATAAGTGCAATTTAAAATAATACTTTTTATTAGGAGATAATGTTTTGATACAATTTCTTTATTTTAAACGAAATCATCTAAAATTTTTTATTTTATGAATAAAAAATCAAAAACAATATTGATGGGTATTTATTTATGTCACAGGAAAATTTACTATAGACTAAGTTGAGGAATTAATAAAAAAAAGTCTTAAAAACCTAAAATTGCCCGACCATTAGTGATTTAAATTAACTGTTGGAACGGCGTGATACCTTCCACACTTATGTAAGTCTCGCCGGAAGCGAAAAATTAGAGCAGTGAGCGTTGAAAAATTTTACCGATTTCATCGTTTTATATATATATGTAAAACAATGTAAAAAAACCCAGCACAGGAGGTTCGCGGCACAGTGGTGACGTGGCATAGTTGGATCAATTATAATGATATCTGACAGTGATTAAAATCACTATAAAAAAAAACGCTTCGATGCAAATTTTTAGATAGTGTTTAATTTTAAAAAATTGGTGGATTATTCCAAAAACTACATGATCTGCTATTTCCTTATTATTATCCTGAATGAAAAAGGGATTATTAAAAATATTATTTCTCATAAAAAAATTGTGTTGATCCATACACTTTTCAATAAATTATAGCATTATAAAGTTAAAAATGTAAAAAATAAAATCAAGAATTTTCACACGAAAATAGCATTTGGTAACCGTTTTCATCACGAAGACAAGTCCAGAGGTCAAATATTTTTTTTCATAATAAAATAATATTTTTTTCATTATCTTTAATTTAAGATAAATATAAAAGTGTCAGACTTTTCGGATCATTTTCAAAAGTCAAGTTAAAAAATTTCTACTTTCTATAGCATTTTTATGTTTTGAATCACCCCTGTATTAAGGGAAATGGTCCGATTTAAAAAAAATGTATGTTGAATGAAAGAAGTATATAAATATTATTTCTCATAAAAAAATTGTATTGATCTATACATTTTTCAAAGATTTATAGTGTTATAAAGTTAAAAATATGAAAAAGAATTTTTTTACAAAAATCGTATTTTTTTATTAACTTTGATGACTGTTTTCACCATGAAAACAAAATAAAGTCCGAAATTTTTTTTTTAATATTAAAGTATATAACATAAGCTTTAATTTAAAATATATATAAAAGTGTCAGTATTTCCGGAACACTTTCAAAAGTTAAGTTGAAAAAGTTGTCATTTTGAATCCTCTCCTGTGGGCTGGCAAAGGGTTAAATTTATAAAAAAAATATACCTAATGATAGGTAGAGACATCAAGCATCCATAAAAAAAATTATATTGATTTGTTCATTTTTGAAAAAGTTACGGCAGTTTTTAGTAAAAAAAATTGAAAAAATTTCGAAAATTAGCGATTTTTATATTTTAATTTTTTTGGAGGTTTCCCCCATTTACGGGGAAAAGGAAATTTTTTAAATTTTTGAGGGTAATGTCTTCGACTAGATACGATTTGTGATATTTTGACGTATCATTGAAAGAAATCGATTCGGTGAGAGCTGAGAAAAGTGGTAACAGACACACAAAAAAAAAAAAAATACATCATAGTAAAATTAATACTTTCTCAGCTTCGCATCAAAGCTAAAATTTTGTTCAAAAAACAATATAAATATACTTCAAAGTAAAATGGATTCATTCTGATCTACGGATAAAACCTAAAATAATGTGAATTTTTGACAGAAAATGAAGATGAGTGAGTGCCAATAACCGACATTTTTTCTTTTTTTTGAAATTATTTAGGAGGCACTAAATTTAAATAATTTTAGTATTAAATTCTTAAATATTATGTGTACTTAGAATTTCTATTTTTACACTATTAGTTTTTCTAGTGAACGTACAGTTCTCGTTATCACATAAAACAGTTGAAAAATTATTTTGTACCAAAAATTATAAAAAATGGAGCAAGCCGGTTATTGTACTAATCCCTTCAATATTTTCTTTATAAATTGTAAGTAACTATATCATTAACAAGGATGGAGTTAATTTGCTCTTTACTAGTTTTTTAATTATTTACTAGTAGATGTTTATCAGTTTATTAGGAAGTTTTTTAATTCAACTGATAAGGTTAACATTGCATTAACAGAAATTTTATTATATGAGATATTGTAATATTTCATGAAATAAAATTCGTAGAAAATAATAAGTGTATTTGATTCAAAACTGTAAAACGCATGTGCGTACTTATATTCCTCGCGGTCGATGTTGTGCGCGCGCTTATCCTTCTAAGTAACAATTGGTGCACCTTAATTCATACTGTACAGTTTTGTATCTAAATAATTTTACTAATACAACAGAATTTATCAGTGCTATCTAAAGAAAATATTTGTAATGGATTTAAAATTTTTGAAATCAAATTAATTTTATTTAATTTTTACTACAAATGAGATCGTTTAGAATCCTAAATAAAGAAATTATACAGACATTTTGCAAATCATGATTATAATTGGTTTTTATTAAATAAATACTTAGCGTCAAAATTAATAAACAAATTTTTAATTTTCCTAATATTAATAATAAACATAAAATAATTTAAATATATAAATAATGAATTAAAAATATATTTAGTATAATATAAGAAAATATTCCACTCATTATTATGTTACATTGTTTTTCAAATTTTTGGTCATGGTAAGTAATTTATGATAGTGATATATTTCTTATAGTTTGATTATTTTTTTTAGAATTGGACTTATTAATAACTTATTTAACGAGTAAATAAATTATTTGATGTGATAAATTCAGGTAAAACTATAATTATAGGCACAACTAGAATACATTATTGAGAGTGCTAATTATATTTTCCCATAACTCTAAAATATACTTTATACATCAATTTACATAATTTTTAAGATTCAATTTGTCAATTTAGTGTCTTAACCCCTTTAGTCCCTCTTGAGTTCTGACGTTTCGGACTCAACTGCAAACATGGATATATCCTCAAGCACTTCAAGTAACAAGACAATCCATGAAAGCTTTAACACATTCATAACCAAGATATTGATAGTAACTACTATCATAACATGAAACTAATAAGTGAAAAATAAATATAGTTTAAAAGCGTGTTTTTTAGTTTTTTAAACTATATTTATTTTGTAATATATGTGTTCTTATATGTAAGTTAAAATAATGATATAATAAAAACTGTTTTATAACTATTATTTCAGGGTTGACCCAACAACTACATTATCTAATTCTAAAGTCTTAACCATGGCTACATTAAAAAAGGTAAATATACACAATTATATAAGTAATTTCATTATTCATTCGTTATTATCTGTGTGTAGTTTATAGGTAGTATCTTAAAGAGTGTTGTGTTATAAATGATTGTTAACTAAACAATAATATTTAAAATACAAACTACTGGGAAAAATAATGATCTTACCAAAAAAAAGCTCTTTTGAGATACTACGTTTAATATTAAGAGATCTTGGTCAAATCCACGAATCGGTAGCTACACGGGTATGCCCAAATATTGTCCCTATATCCTTAAATGGATTTTAATTACCTAAACGAGATACAGGCAAACGTGTACCTTAGTTACTAATGAGATTATAATAAAATTAAACTATTGATTTATATCAACAACAAAGTAAATTGATTACAAATTATATATTCAGTTAATATAAGTTATGTGTAATGTAAATATGTCTGACCTAGTTTAGTTGGTTAGTATATATATCCAAGTTAGACGAGGATGGTTGGTTATAGTTATGATGACAATTGGCGATAGACAAGTTGTTGAATAAATTAAGTTAAGTTATTGACAAAATGAATAAGGTAAAAACTATAATTATAGTTTTACAGTAACTTTGGGCTACAAAGTAAAAACATCACATCAGCACCTCGCTCTATGCTAATTCACATTTATTAAGAATTACATTAGCAATTAAGAATTCATTATTCAACGCGTTTAATATAAGTAGTAATAATATTGTAATAAATGTTCTTATAATTTTAATTGCTTAAATAATAAAAAGCCCAAGATTGCATTATAGTCGGAATTATTGAACTAGCTACATGGAATTTTCAAAAAATAAAAATAAGGGCATTTTAGTGCAGCCTGGGTGGAAGTAAAATATAAAACAATATAAATTATAGATTCAAAGATTTTTTTTGGTGGGTTATTCAAGTAAAAAAGAATTTTTTAACGAAATAAAAAGGGTTTAAGGGTGGTAGAATGGAATACCCCGGCGGCACAATTTCTATATGTGGCCATATACACATAACATAAAATATATAACCTAGCATTATGTATTAAAATGATACGTTAAAATGTTTTAAAAATTAACGAAAATAATAAAAAAAAAAAAGACTGAGAACAGTGGGGACGTGGCATAGTTGAGTCCAGTATACAGAATGATTGAAATCTGTTAAGACACTCATTTTCTCAGAAAATATTGAGAATTTTAAATTTTATTATAGAGAAAAAATATCAAGTTCAAAAAACTCTACAATAATATGTAGTCAAACCATTATTCTTTTCGTCCCTTCAAGGATAAAAACCCCTATTTTAACTTTAAAATATGAAAGAAAAAAAATTACAAACAATTTTGTTGTTATAATTTTTAGCTTCGATGCGAAGCTGAGAAGGTATTGGTTTTACTATGATTTGTTTTTTTTTTTTTTTGTGTCTGTTACCACTTTTTCTCAGCTCTCACCGAACCGATTTCTTTCAACGATACGTCAAAATATCACAAATCGTATCTAGTCGAAGACATTACCCTCAAAAATTGAAAAAATTTCCCTCATTTCCCGTAAATGGGGGAAACCTCCAAAAAAATTACAAATTTAAAAATCACTAATTATCGACATTTTTTCAATTTTTTTACTAAAAACTGCCGTAACTTTTTCAAAAATGAACAAATCAATATAATTTTTTTTTTATGGATGCATGATGTCTTTACCTATCATTTGGTATACTTTTTATAAATTTAACCCTTTACCAGCCTACAGGGGGATTCAAAATAGCAACTTTTTTACAAAAATTATCTTTTGAAAGTGTTCCGGAAAGACTGACACTTTTATATATACCTTAAATTAAAGCTTATGTAATATACTTTAATTTGAAAAAAAAAAATTTGACCTCTGTACTTGTCTTCATGTTGAAAATGACTACCATATGCAAAAATATGCTATTTTTGTGAAAAAATTCTTGATTTTATATTTTACATTTTTTAACATTGTGTTATGGACCAACACAATTTTTTTATGAGAAATAATATTTTTTAATTATCTCTCATTCATTCGACATACTTTATCTTAATCAGGATATTAATAAAGAACTAGCAGATCATGTAGCTTTTGGAATAATACACCAATTTTCTTAAAATTAAACACTATCTAAATCTTTTTATCGAAGCGTTTTTTTTTTTAAATCTAATCTTTTTTTTATAGTGATTTTAATCACTGTCAGATATCATTATAATTGATCCAACTATGCCACGTCACCACTGTGCCGCCAACCTCCTGTGCTGGGTTTTTTTTTAACATTATGTTGCTATAACTTTTTAAAAAATGAATGAATCAATTCTATTCTTTTTAATAATAAATACTTTATATATACCTCTTTCATTTGACATACTTTTTTTTTAAATCAGATCATTTCCCTATATACGGGGTGGCTTCAAATCTAAAAAATGCATATAGAAAGGAGAACTTTTTCAACTTAACTTTTGAAAGTGTTCCGGAAGGTTTTACCCTTTTATATATATCTTAAATTAAAGGAAATGTAATACTTTAATATGAAAAAAAAAATTTGACCTCTGGACTTGTCTTCATGGTGAAAATGGCTACCGAATGCTATTTTTGTGTGAAAATTCTCGATTTCATAATTTACATTTTTTACTTTATAATGCTATAACTTATTGAAAAGTGTAAGGATTAACACAATTTTTTTATGAGAAATAATATTTTTTAATAATCCCTTTTTCATTCGACATACTTTATCTTAATCAGGATATTAATAAAGAACTAGCAGATCATGTAGCTTTTGGAATAATACACCAATTTTTTAAAATTAAACACTATCTAAAGATTTGCATCGAAGCGCTTTTTTTTTATAGTGATTTTAATCACTGTCTGATATCATTATACTTGATTCAACTATGCTACGTGATCACTGTGCCGCGACCTGTGCTGGATTGTTTTTATCCGATTAACCATTCGTCCATTACAGCTTGTTAAAGTTAAGTGATTTTTGACCAAATTTCTATTGTCATTTTACTGTATTAAATACAGAAGTCATTATTTTTATTTGCTGTTACATGAACCAAATTTTATTGATCAAGTTATGACAGGTAAATTAGCTATAAAAATTTACTACGCACTAAATGAGTAATAACAATAATAGATTGAAACCGGGTTTTCGGTGTATTATTAATAGCTAAGTGATATGCCACCGACTCGAAAACACCTCTTGGTCGGGGCACCCAGTATCTTCGCCTATTATGGACACGACTTGACTAACTAAAAATTTAATGACAATACTCTTTGACAGAACAAATGTAAATTTTATTATTACTAAACACAATATTACATAAATTAATCTACCGTTACTACACAATTATATATTTAAATTCTTTATATGCAAGCTGGTTACTTCGTTAAGCCGTATACAAGGACCAGACACGTTCTTCAAAACATGAACCCGTGGATGGGCATCCAAAATTTCTTTTCCTTTTTTTTGCTATTGAATTGGCGATCACGGAACTTAGCTGTGGGCTCTCAAGTTGCAGCGCTCCACTGTCCGTCATAGGATCGTTCTTAATAGCATAAGCGCCAAAACCAGACTCGCCATACGCACTCAACGCGTAACAAAACTCGATCGCGTGAACCGGTGGTATGCAAGTGGCGCTACAAATGATGGGCGGCCAAACACTAAGTCTATGGTTTTGTAAGACTAAAGGATCTAACAAAAATACCGGTTGCACTGCCACCGCTATTATGAAACATAATATGTGACAATATTTTTTCTGGAAATCAAAATCTTTAAACAATTATAAAACGTAAACAGTTGTTCGGATAAAAAAATTATAAGAACAAAATTGTTTGTAATTTTTTTTTTTTCTATCATATTATCAAATCAAAAATAGTGGTTCCCATTTAAAAAAATTATAAATAAACATTTTTATCCCTGAAGGGATAAAAAAAAATATTTAACTTCATATTATTGTAGAGTTTTATAAACTTAAATAATTTTTCTTTTTACAAAAATTTAAAATTCTCAAAAGTGTCTTACCAGATTTCGCTCACCCTATAGATTTAAACTTACAGTCATTACAATCACAAATCATAATAAACTATCATAAAGAAATTACAAAGGAAAATTATTTACTTTTGTAGTTGAAAACTTTTATCATATCAAATCTAATTCGACAATGAATACTTTAAGAATATTAGAAATTAATGATTTTAATAATTAAAATCATTAATTTCAATTTAAAAACAATTATTGTTTTTATGAATAAAGTAACGCTTCGATGCAAATCTGTAGATAGTGTTTAATTTAGAGAAATTGGTGGATTTTTCAAAAAGCAANTGTAGATAGTGTTTCCTTTAGAGAAATTGGTGAAATATTTCAAAAGCAACATCAACTCTTATTTCTTTAATTATATCCTGATTAGTAGTTCTTTGATTTTAAAATATAATATATGAATAAATACTAATTATAGTTATTAAATTTAGTTTGAAATTGATATTCATTAATTTAATATTGTAATTTATACGGAGAAATTATAAACCTAATAACGAAGTTACATTTTGCTTAACTTTTACATGTATAAAAATTTAAAGGGCTTAATACAATATTGTTCAATAAAAACTGTTTGTTACTATAAATAAATGCACTGGACAACATGGAACTTTCATCAGAAGCAAAAATATACTTTTCTAAATCAACTTTTCGCGTTGTTTTCAAATTTGCAATTAGACTTTTTCTATAATTTCTAATTTTTTATATTATTACTAATTACATATAAAATAATAATTAAAAAAAAAAAAATTGTTTTCGAATTGTTACTGCTATGATTTTTAATATGTNTTGTTTTCAAATTATTACTGATTTGATTTTTAATATGTTAAAAATAATCGGTTCAAATTTTCTATTTTAACCTATTTTTTTTTTTCTTTAAAGTTGATGAAAAATTTTTGATAAAGTTTTGTGAAAGTTTATAGCAAAAAAAATTGAATGTGTTACCATAACTTTTAGCTCAATTACAAGTTTGAAATTGACATCATTAAATAAAAAAATTTTTGAGAATTAAAAAAATTGTATCGTTAAGATTAATATGCAGTTAGGAAGTTTTATAAATACTATTTACAGAATATTTATCAGAAAAACTGATTATTTTTTTGCATTTTTATCGTAATAGAACACTTAAATAGAAATCTACTATGNAAAGCTCAATATTTTTTTGCATTTTTATGGTAATAGATAACTTAAATAGAAGTAATAGTAATAATTTCCTAGTAACTTTTGGTGTTTGAAAAGNCCTAGGAACTTTTGTTGTTTGTTGAAAAGATTCTATAATTGAAATATTCAGAACTTAATTAATTTTAATGATTTACTTTAACTAAATGAACCAATCAAAACAAAGTTGTTAAAAAAATATACTCGATTGAGCGTATTATAAAATTTGATTATATTTGTAAAAAATTATTAAATTACAAAGTAAAATGATTTAATTTTGTAGTTGAAACCTATCATATCAAACTTGATTCGTCAATAAATACTTTGAAAACATTAGAAATGAATGATTTAATTGTCTTTATGGAGAACATGTAATTGATAAATTAGAATTTTTTTTTCAATTTTTGAGGGTAATATCTTCAACTAGATACGAATTGTAGTCATTTGACGTATCGTTGAAAAAAGTTAGAGCAAAGAAAATAAATGATAGTCACAAAAAAATATCNAAAAAAGTAGGTCAAGTTAGAGCAGAGAAAATAAATGATAGTCACAAAAAAATATCTTCTCAGCTTTGCATCGAAGCTAAAACTTAAAATATAGTAAAATAATTTTAATACGAATAAGAAATTTCTTCTTACAAGGGGCGACTAAAGTGATGGGATCCTTGATCTTTATTGAAGTTATTGAATCTAAATGAGATAAAAATCAAACGAGTTAAAAATTTATACTAACTTTAAAAAGAATTAAGAAAAAATGCAAAAAATTCATTGCTATACGCGGGATGGAACCTCGTACCCCAAGCGTGTAAAACATAAATCTTACCAACTGGGCAACCGTACGTCGATGCCGTGAAATTGAAAAAAATTGGCTATTTAAGCTAAATTAAATTTCAAAGTTATTTTTCTCGACTTAAAAGAAGCAAACAAATTTAAATAAGTTTAACTGTCTATGCTATATTAATTTTAATTTATATAATATTTATGAAAATCTGTACTCCCATTGTCAGATATTTTAAAATAAAATAAAATACAAAACCCAGAATTTTAACACAAAAATAGCAAATTTTTGAATACGGTAGTCATTTTTACCATGAAGACAAATCCAGAGGTCAAATTCTTTTTTTTTTCAAATTAAAGTATATTACATAAGCTTTAATTTAAGGTATATATAAATGTGTCAGTCTTTCCGGAACATTTTCAAAAGTTAAGTTGAAAAAGTTAATTTTTTGTAAAAAAGTTACTATTTTGAAACCCTTTCTGTGGGCTGTTAAAGGGTCAAATGTTCACAAAAATATATAAAATGATAGGTAAATATCTAAGGTATCTATAAAAAAAAAAATTATATTGATTCGATCATTTTTAAAAAAGTTATGGCAATTTTAAGTAAAAAAAAATGAAAAAATATCGAAAATTAGCGATTTTTAAATTTGCAATTTTTTGAGGGTAATGTCTTCGACTAGATACGATTTGTGATCTTTTGACATATTGTTCATCAAAATCGGTCCAGCGAGAGCTGAGATTGAGCGTTCACAGACACAAAAAAAAAAAATAAAAAAACACATCATAGTAAAATTAATACCTTCTCAGCTTCGCATTAAAGCTAAAACACATAGTAAAATAATTACTTCTCAGCTCGCATCGAAGCTAAAAATTGAAGGTTAATAAATGTGTAAAATGGATAAAACGTAAAAAGGATAAGTTTTGGTATCTTGGGAGTTAGGTAATATTCAATAAATTATGTTAAATATCCCTTAAAATTGTATAACATATTTTGATTTTTACGTAATAGATTGTTTATGGTTTGAATGCATAGGTTAAATTGTGCTTACCTTATGTCCTATGTCTAGTAATAATATTTTAATTAATCCAATGTTGATTTTGTATATTAATTGCACTGCGTTTTAAACACAGTTCACACTTCGCGTTGTATGGTCAATATAATTATTTACGATAACGATTCACATTTTAATAATATGACTTCATTACACAAAATCTATAACTGATTTTTATATGAAATAGATTCTAAACACTATATTTTTTATCTTTGTTGAGTGAGTATATTTCTTATATCTTCCCCTGGCCTGGCCGAAACAAGATTTAAAAATATTTATATATATGTAAAAATTTTATCAAGCCGATAATGTAGTGACCCAATGTGTCCCGACGCTGACGTCTTGAATTGATGCGGCACAATGATCACCAAGACAAAATTTAGACACTAAAAATATATTCGTAAGTTTCCTTGTGCTGTCCTCCAGCGCGATGTTCGTTAGAACAAAAATATTAAACTCTAAGACTAGCTAAGACCCAATAAGAAAAGTTTACAATTAATTAATAAATATTTAAAGTTGGGTTGGATTTATTATTAAAATAAAATAACTTAAACAACAGGGTTTAATGTTTGAAATATTAATTGACGTTTATTTTCATCATAAGAAAAAATAAATAAAACATTATTATTTAATGAATAATTAAACTTTAATAAAAGAATCATCAAAATAAAATTTTTTTTTTAATTTCTGAGTGTCATTTTATTTGAAAAATATTCTAAGTCCAAATTAATTAAAAGAAATGACCTAGTCCTAGAGAGCGAGAATCTTGAATAGAGTGTCGCAAATTTGTGTGTATTTTAATGTTACTGAAAAAACTGGTTTTAACGGGGAGAAATGGTTTTTTATAGTCAGAAGCGGAAGTTTAGCGATCTCCAGCATGATCTTGGAAGTGAGGCCTTCTATTCTAATTATTTAATTACAAAGGGGAACTGCGCGTAGTCATTACTTAAAAATCTGTACAATAAGTATATTCTTAATATGTGACATACAAACGATAACATCATATATTATCATATGCTAATATTATTATTGATAATATAATATTACAGAATACAGTTGTGATTACGCAACCAATTCGGAAAGTGTCAATAGGTACTAGTCCTTTAAATTCACCTCATGTTAAAAGATTACCATCAGCTGCTGTTACATTACAAGGATGGCTTTATAAACAAGGAAGTGAAGGATTAATGTTATGGAAAAAACGATGGTTTGTTTTATCTGAATTTTGTCTTTTTTACTACAAAAGTATGTCTTTTTCGCACAGGTATCAAATTTTTTAGTACAAGAAAACTTTTTTTAATGTTTTTAAATATTTTAGATGATGAAGAAGAAAGATTATTGGGTTCAATATTGCTACCATCATATAAAATATCCCCGTGTTCACCTTCTGAAGATAAAATTTTTCGGAAATTTAGTTTTAAGGCTGAGCATGACAATATGAGAACATATTACTTTGCAGCTGATTCAAGGGAGCTCATGATTCAATGGATGGATGGTTTAAGTTTAGCTACAATTCTTCAACAAAATAATGGGTATTACATACACCACCAATACACATAAAAATTCAAAATTGTCATTTTTCTGATATTTTTCCATTTCTCTCATTCTTTATCTTAATCACTTTTATTATAATATTTAATTATCAACTAGACTACGGTTTTATAACCACCCTATGTAAATATTTATATTATTTGTATGTATTATGAAAATACCACAAAATTAACACATTTTATAATACTTCCATTTTTTATCCACTTCGAATAAAATTACCAATATTTGACATAAATACCATACAATAGGTAACATTTATATACTGAGTGTTTGATAAGTAAGGAAACAATTTTTATAAACAATGAGAACAAGAGAAACCTGTTTCTTTACTTACTGAACACTCTATATGTAGAGTGGAATAGATCTAACTGACAACTCATAAAACTTTTGATCTACATAACATTTTATTTATTTTTTTAATCAATTTTTACAATATAGAACTTAATTTAAAATATGTTTTATGTTATTTTTCGCAATTATAAACAAATATTTTAAAAATTATTTTTTTTAAGATTTTAAGGTTATCATTTTATAGATAAGTTTTAAAGAAAAATTTTAATACCAAAAACTCTTATTTTAATTCAGTAGTTACGTTTATATAGCATTTTGAAGTTTGTTAAATTTTAATTTTTTTTAGTATTTTTTTATGTTATCAAATGTTAGTTTATATTAGAGATGTTAAGTTCGTGAACGAATAGTTCATTTGAACTATTCATTTAGATGAACTATTCTGAACTGTATCAGTACCTGTAACTTAACAGTTCACAGTTCGAAAAAAATTGGTAGCAATGTATAAATGAAATAGTTCGCAAACTTCTTTAAAAATTCTCTGTGGTTCGTTGTTCGAAACCTGTAAATGGTTAATAGCTGTTTACAATTAGATAACAAATAAATTATATTGTTAAAATGCTACACGGTTCTTAACAGTTTAACAATAAAATAAATTCATACAATGTACAAATATTAGATCAGATTTCTGATTTAACTTAGGACTACTGGTCAATATATCCACCTTGGATTAGGTGATAATGATAACATGAGCCACGAGGGTATTGATAATAATTTTTTCTTAGTTTATGATGTTCAAGTTAAGGTATAAGGTTAGTTTATAACTTAATTGCCCATAAGTAGTGTGAAATACTACTGAACTGTGTACTGCTGTACTAATAGTGATAAAATTAATAGTTCATTGCCAAACAATATCAGCATGATCAATAAAATTAGTGAACTTGGTATACACTAAACGTAATAAGTAAACACTTATTACGTTATTTACTGGTAACAGTACGCCGATTTCTTTTCCATGAAAATTATTAACATTTGAATAAGAATTTATAACTGACATGAAAAAACAAGTAGTAGAATAATTAAGATTAAAAAAAATTATAGAAACATTGTCTAAAACATGTTGAGTTTTTAATTAAATACGTTCATATATTATAAATTTAAAGGTGAATAAGTGCATTTATTATGAAATCTCCTAACAACGAATATCCTATAATAGTATCATTATAATGATAGGATCACGCAAATTAAAAATTGTTATCACTTTTAACTTTGCTAACCATGAAAATTAGAGATAATAATTTCTGTATAAAGCACGTTAAACGTAATTTTATCCATGTAAAAGAAATCGCCTACTGTTACCAGTAAATAACGTAATGAGTGATTACTTCCGTATTTTACATAATATAGACTAACATTTGATACCATAAGAAAATTGTAAAAAAAATCAAAATTTAACAAACTTCAAAATGCTGTATAAACGTAACTACTGAATTAAAATAAGAGTTTTTGGTATCAAAATTTTATTTTAAAATATATCTATAAAATGACCATCTTCAAATCTTAAAAAAAATTAATTTTTAAAATATTTTTTGTAATTGCGAAAAATAACATAAAACATATTTTAAATATATTTATATATTGTAAAAATTGATTTAAAAAAAAAGTACAAAATGTTATGTAGATCATAAGTTATACAGGGTGATTTTTTTATCATAACCCACTCAATTACTTATTGAATAATAATAATTAAAATTTTTTTTTTATTATTATCTTTAGTTACACATTATTCTTGAATTATTAACTATGTAATACTTTTTAAGTTCATCCCTTATGCCTGGTAAGGGTGTCAACTTTGTTTTTTTAAATGGTAACACATATTTTTAATTTAATAAAATGTTTGAGTTTTTAATTCAATAATAAATGGCATTTGAATTTTGACACGACTTACGGCGCAAAAATGTANATTGACACGACTTACGTCGCAAAAATGTGGTCGACACTGGTTTTGAGGGTAGAGACCCGTGGGCCGTTTATTAAATGAGCGACAACAGATTATGTTAACAAAAATAAAACAAACCGAAAAGATTAACACAGTAATAATAATCTTCGCATAATATCGCGGCACTTTCGCTGACGTCGACGACGCGATGTCCGGCGTAATCCTTGGACGGCAAAATGGTTAGCAGCGTTGTAGGCGACAGTGCGCGGGTGCGGATCGGTTGGTCGACATTGTCACTTTCATAACGGGAGGAAGACTCTCGCATTATTTGCGGCGGGTCGTCGTCGGCCGTTCAGCATTTGCTGGACTTTGCACCGTAGCGTAGAACACGCGGTGTTGGTCAGTCAAATATTCATAGTAGGGCGACGGCTGATAAAGGTGGCCGAGTCGCGGGGCATCGTGTATAACAAAGCGACGCGGGCCGTGTCAATTTTTAATAAAACTTAATTTGTTTATTAGATATAACATTTAAAGTTTCAAATTTTTGAGTTAATATATAGGTATAATATACAAGGGATTACAAATACAGGTAGCTAATTGGTTTTTTATGATATTGCTATCACAGTCACGGATTGTTTATTATCAATTGTAACTATCAATAAATATACCTTTTGTATTGTCAGTTGGTGTATTTATAAACTCACAACAATGTACCTTACTATCATTGATAATAACAATGCTGTGTACCTGCTAATATCGATGTCATAAAAAATCAATTAGCTACCTGTATTTGTAATCCCTTGTGTATTATACCTGTATATTAGTTCAAAAATTTGAAACTTTAAATGATTATATCTAATAAGCTAATAAAGTTATATTAAAAATTCAAATGCAATTTACTATTAAATTAAAAACTCGAACATTTTATTAAATTCAAAATATGTGTTACCATTTAAAAAACAAAGTTGACACCCATTCAAGGGTAATAAATGAACTTAAAAAGTATTACACAGTTATAAATTTAAGAATAATGTGTAACTAGAGATAACCAAAAAAAAAAAAAAAGTTTAAATTATACTTATTCTGTAAGTTATTGAGTGGGTTATGATAAAAAAATCACTTTGTATGTGGGATGATTGGTTTATCACAAATCACTCGATTATTCTCAAAATAAATACAATATGGAAAAAAAATATTTGGTTTTTTTTAGTTAGATATATTTTTTGATTTATGAGATATTAATAAATTTTTAGGATCATCCTTATAATGTATAGGGGTGTCAACTTTATTTTTTTTAAATGGCAAAATAAATATTTAACTTGCTTATAAAATAGGAAATAATTTATCCCAGAAAATAACTAGTCTATAACAACTTTTGGACTAATATTTTAGAAGTTATTAACAATTTAAAGTAATGACTAGTGGTGAAAATTGGTGTTGCTATTTGTTAAGAACAGGACTGACCAGTGAACGAACTCCTATTCTTACGAAGGCGACAAGAGAAAAGCCGGTTAGTCAGTTGATTTTCTAGTGTGACTATCTGATTTATTTGTATAGGAATGTGCGTGGAGTGGAGGGATAGGGAGGAATTGGAACAATTAAACTAAATAAAAATTATAACATCAAGTATTATACGAGTAAAAGTAAATACAATTTGTCCCATGTGTAAGCCAATTAATTCCAATGCTATAACTATCTTACCTGTAATATGTGCTCAGTTAGGTCTTTATAATATATGATTTGAGATAGTGGACTGTATATGTGCTCAAGAGTGAAATGAAAATATGAATATTCAGTGCGACATGATTCAATGAAATAAGTAAGTTTATTGCAATGAGCAAAGTACAAGAGTATGATTTAATACAGACTTAAATTCAATTATTTTGTACAATTCTATTAACAAAGTAAAGTAAGAAACTAGCAGGTATTGAACAAAACACAAGTATAATTGCTATGAACGTTAACAAATTAAGAGAGGGATAAGTAATAAAAGTGGTCAAGAGAAGTGGTTGAATCAAATATATGAAAACAAAACAATTGGTATCAATTATAAGTTTATAATCAAATGGTCAAACATTAGAGTTCAATAGCCAAAGGACAAAGTTAATTTTAATAGTGCAAAGACCAGTGGTCGATTAAATCAAATTGTAATAATAATATAAGAAAAGACTAATTTCATTACAATAAACAATTAATCAAATAAACTATTAACTGAGCCACTCAACTATTAATTTACTTTAACTTATGTGGACTAATGGATTTGAATTGCTTTGTACTACCATAAATAACATAAAAGATAATCATAGCATAAATTACTAGAAACTTAACTACAATTTTAACTTATCTAAATTCTAAATTAAATAATACTGAACAACTGTACCAAGGGGCTCGCACTTTAACAGTTTGCTGATTGGGTTTTAATAGAAGAATTGTATTGTTACAATCCAGAATAGAGTTAATAGATTTAAAGATAGTTTCATACAAATGACAATGTACCCTATGGGTAATGTGAGCTAATGTGCGAACCACAAGGTATATAAACAACAAATATTAAATAAACGATTAAAATTATTACCAATTAATATTACACAAATTTGGTTTCGTATTACGCTGCCGATTCAAACAGGCTAACAAAACGAATTGACACCAAACGGACGATTTTTGTTGTAACAAAAGAAAAATATAATGTTTAGGTTAGGCGGATAAAAAATAGTTTACAACGAGAGCGATATAATAACGCGGTTTTTACAATAACAAAGACAACAAAACAAGCGACGGTTCTCGAGAGAGTGAATTAGAAACTATAACGGCCAAGCGTCCGATGGGGAAGTGTTATCACCAGATAGTACACTATCAGTATGACCAACTTGAGTGTTCACCCGAACACTATTTTTATCACTAGTCATTTTCCGGCCTTACTCTTAGTCGCATCTATGTATATAAATGAGTATAACATTCAATATGTTGGTCCAAAAGTTGTTATAAACCAGTCATTTTCTTAGTTAGATAATTTTCTATTTTATAAGTTAATTAAGGGATTATGTAAGGAATGATCCTAAAAAGTAATTAATAACTAAAAATTTCTTGATTAAAGAACTATTTTAAGTCAATTATTTATAGAGAATATACTCCAGTATTCATTTACGCTATATGTATTAAAATACTTGTAACTCTATAAGTACTCATCCTAAAATTGTTAAAAATTGTTAAAGATTAGTCACAAGTGATCAATTCTTATTACTAAAATTATTATTGTCCCATTTAAATTTTTTGTAAAAAACCATTTTGATCAGTAATGTGAGAGTTATTAGTTTAAACTGTGCAACCCTATATTAACAACAGTTTAGAATGACATTGCATTGAACGAATCAAATTTTTCTTAAGCTGCCGGTACTATTGTACAATATAATTTAAATTAAAAATTGAATACTAATTATTTAAATAAAGTAAATTTATTTTTGATCATTTTTCATATACATACATATCTTTTTAGCACTTATTTCAATTGGACAGATGATATTCTACTTATAACTCTTAATAACTATCCGCGAGGACACGCAAATAAATTTTACATATTCTGAAAGCTAACAAAAAAGCTAAAACAGAAGTCGACTGTATATTTACAATTTGTAAACAAAAACATACATATTGTGTAACTAAATAAAAAATAAAATAATAAACGGAATAACTTGTATGCACTGGTATTTTTAAATTGTTATTACAAATACATATGAATAAAAAAACAAATTAATAAAAATTTACCTCATTATGTAGGCTATGTTAAACGACTAAATTAATTTTTAATAGGTATACTGAACGAAATATGAAACTTCTTCAATTCTCAAATAAAATGGAATTTCAAAACTCAAGTTTCATAAATTCATCGATTTATTCAACACCAAAAAATTTAAATAATACTGAAATAAACTGTAAGACTTATAATAATCAAATTGCTCAACCTCTTTATGCAAATGCGCCACCTAAACCCAGACGTGTAATAGATTCCCTAGACGAACATCGTCAAATCGCTCAACCTCAATATAGTCATTCATCTTTAGTGAACAATATTTATAAAATATCATTGAATAGCTCCGAACGTCGCACACCTGATGATTATGGAAGAAATGATTTTAAGTATTCTAATTCAAGTGAGTACGAAGAAGTTATCGATAAATATAATACACCAATCCCAATTCATTATCGAGAGAAGAAACACTTTTATAGACCTCATAGTGCTGATTTTTTGGATTACGACACTAATCAAATTTATAAAACTCAAACACTGGGTATAACTGATTATAAGCCTTATGAGTATAATACTGTTGAAAATAACAAAAGACCAAAATCAAGTCTAGATTTTATTGATGATTCCGATAGCTATTGGTCAGAGAATGCTTATGCAGAGAAAATGAGACAAGCATCTTTAAGTCTAAATAAAGATAGCAATTTTAAAGTTAACACATCAGCTTTATCGCTAAAACAATTGGGAATCTATTTAAACGATGTAAAAACGGAGCCTTTTGGTGAATGTTTATTCCAAATTAAAAATCAGAGAAATTTCATCAAAGAACAAGAAAAAAGATGGAGTGACTATGTTAACTCATTTAATAGGTCAGCCAGTGCCAGAGTAACACGAAATATAGAAAAAAGTAGTCACGAATTAAATAAACAAAAAAGAAGCACGAGTTTACAACGGAGAAATAGTGTGAATTCTAAAGATAAAGAAAAGAAATCACAGCAGGTTTGTAAAATTTATTTGTTCTTGATAAAATTATAGTTTTAAAAAAAAAAAATTTCCATTCTTAAGCGAGAAGAGTCAATGAAACGCTTATTAGATTGGAAACAACGTATGTTACAATCAACTTTAACTAGAAAATCATTGGAGTCTCCTAATCGAAGTTCTGCTCAAAGTGAACTTTCAATATATTATAAAAAAAAAAGAGAAAATAGAATGACTTTAAAAAACGATGGGAATAATTTTGGAAAAAAGTTAGCTAACGTTAATTATAACAAAGCTCCTGATTATCTTATTAACGAATTAACAATTGAAAATGATTTTAATTCTTCTGAAGATGAAGGTAAGAATAATTATAGTAGCTTGAACATTTAAATTATTTCAAATTGCTATATATATGCTGCATTTATAATTTTTACATGTCGCCGACTCTTTGGATAAAATCCTGTATCTTGTCGTTTAGAGATTTTTTTTGAAGAATACATACTACAAAGCTTCATAATAAGCTCTTTTTAAATAAATTTTTTTTTATTCAGTTGATAATGATATATATGATCAAAATTGTTATGGGTATTCATTTTATTTTTATTTAAATTAATTTCTCTTATAGAAACTAGTAAATTATATATGTTGCCTATAAAAATAATTAAGTTGATATCTTTACAAAATATAAAAAATTAATCTAAAAATTAATTTTTATTTGGTAAATTTACTATATTTATTTAGTATAATTATTATAGTCTGAAACAACTTTTTAAAATCAACAAATTTATTGTTATACAAACGAAAAGTATTTTATTGTCGATAACATTGTGGGGACGTGGCATAATATATATAGTTGGTACAAATATTGATAATATCTAATAGTTATTAAAATCACTATCATAAGAAACGCTTCAATGCAAAGCTGTAGATAGTCTTTAATTCTAATGAAAAATGTGGATAAATACAAAAGCAACATCAACTCCTTAATCCTTAATTATATCCTGATTAGTAATTATTAAATTAAAAAATACAATTTATAATTTTCAATTATATACTATATAATTTGTATAATTAATTGTTTTCAAATTATTATTGATTTTAATTTTTAATATGTTAAAAGTAATCATTTTTAACTAACTTATTTTATCCTTTGAAGTGAAAGGTTATAATTAAAAAATATATATAAATTTATTACTATAACTTTTAGCTCAACTTGTAAGTTTGAAAATTGACATCATTAAATTGAAAAAATGGTATTGTTAAGATTATTAATATGCAGTCAAGAAATTTCATAAATACTATTTATAGTAGAATTATCAGAAAAGCTCGATTTTATCGTAATATATCACTTAAATAGGAATCCTAGAAAACATTTCTAATTAACTTTTGGTGTTTAAAAAGATTCTACAATTGAAATATACAAAGAACTGAATTAATTTTAATAATTTAACTAAAAAAACCAATAAAAAAAATTGTTAAAAAGATCTACTCAATTGAATGTATTATAAAATTTAATTATAATTGTAAAAATCCATTCTTAAATTCAGGTGAAACTAAATATCATTTTTTAGCTTCAAGCCGAGCTAAAAGATTATAGTTTTACTATGTGTTTTTTTTTTGTGCCTGTTACCACTTTTTCTCAGCTCTCACTGAACCGATTTCTTTCAACGTTACGTTGAAAGATACGATCAAAAATCGTATCTAGTTGAAGGCATTATCCTTAAAAATTGAAAAAAAATTCCCTCGTTCCCTGTAAATGACGGAAATCTCCAAAAATATTACGATTTTATAAATCAGTAATTTTTGACGTTTTTTCTTAAAACTACTATAACTTTTTTAAAAATAAACAAAACTTAAATTTTTTTTTCATTGAAACATTAGATATTTTCCTTTTATTTGATATTACTTTTTTGAAAATCTAACACTTAACCTGTTCACAGAAGGGATTTAAAACAGCAACTTTTTTTTACAAAAATTAGCTTTTTCAACTTTAATCATATATCAAATTAAAGCTTATGTTATGTACTATATCTTATGTCATTTTCGTGTTGCGAAGTTGAGAAGGTCTTAATTTTACCATGATGTGTTTATTTATTTTTTTATTTTTTTTTGTGTCTGTTACCACTTTTTCTCAGCTCTCACCGAACGGATTTCTTTCAACGATACGTCAAAAGATCACAAATCGTATCTAGTCGAAGACATTACCCTTAAAAATTGAAAAAAATTCCCTCGTTCCCCGTAAATGGGGGAAACCTCCAAAAAAATTACAAATTTAAAAATTACTAATTTTCGACATTTTTTCAATTTTTTTACTAAAAACTGCCGTAACTTTTTCAAAAATGAACATATAAATATAATTTTTTTTTATAGATGCTTGATGTCTACCTATCATTTGATATACTTTTTTTATAAATTTAACCCTTTACAAGGCCACAGGAGGATTCAAAATAGCAACTTTTTTACAAAAATTAACTTTTAAAAGTGTTCCGGAAATACTGACACTTTTATATATATCTTAAATTAAAGCTTATGTAATATACTTTAATATTAAAAAAAAAAAATTTGGATTTTATTTTGTCTTCACGGTGAAAATGGCTATCGAATGCTATTTTTGTGTGAAAATTCTCGATTTTATTTTTAAAATTTTTAAATTTATAATTCTATAACTGTATGGATCAAAAATTTTTTTATGAGAAATAATATTTTTTAATATTCTTTTTTTTATAAGATATTCTTTGTCTTAATCAGGATATTAATAAGGAAATAGCAGCTCATGTAGCTTTTGGATTAATCCACAAATTGTTAAATATTAAACACTATCTAAAGATTTGCATGGAAGAGTTTTTTTTATAATGATTTTAATCACTATCAGATATCATTATACTTGATATATTTATACGTGATGGGATCCTTGATATTTATTGAAGTTATTGAATCTAAATGAGATAAAAATTAAGTGATTAGAAAATTTTTCTGCAAAGTGCAAATTTTTAATGCAAAATATTAATTGCCACAGACGGATTCGAGCCTGGAACCATAACCGTGAAAGACAAAAGTGTTACCGATTCGGCAACTGTTGGTCGCTTTTGCCGATTAATAAAATTGGCATTTTAAGCTACCAATTGGTTTGGTTGGGTTGGGTTTAAAACTTTAAAAAAGCAAAATAATTTAAATAATTATAACTTCTTATGTCTTATGAACTTTATTCTTAATAATAATATAAGCTTTAATTTAAGATTATATAAAAGTGTCAATATTTCCTGAACATTTTCAAAAATTGAAAAATCTTAATTTGTGTGTAAAAGTTATTTTTTCGAATTCCCTCTGCGGACAGTTTTAGAGTAAGATTTTGCATCGAAGCGTTTTTTTTTTTATAATGATTTTAATCACTGTCAGATATCATTATACTTGATCCAACAATACCACGATACCACTGTGCCTAGACCCCCCTGTGCTGGGTTTTTTATGCAAAAGTTTCTATTTTGAATCTTCCCTGTTTAGGTAAAAGGTCAAATTTTCAAAAAAATTATATAAAATGAAAGGGAAATATCTGAAGTTTAAACGTAAAAAGGTATTATTTTGATTTTTCCACATTTCAATAAGTTATGGAAATTTTTAGAAAAAAAAAAAAATGAAAAAAATGTCAAAAATTTACCGATTTTAAAAATTTTAATTTTTTGAGGAATTTCTATCATTTACTGGGAACGACGGAAAACTTTTTAGTTTTTGAGGGTAATGTCTTCATCTAGGTCGATATTTGATCTTTTGACATATCGTTGAGAAAAATCGGTTCAGTGAGAGCTGAGAAAAAGTAGTGATAGGCGCAAAAAAAAAAACACATCATGGTAAAATTAATACCTTCTCAGCTTCGCATCGAAGCTAAAAAAATGTTTTGGTTTTAAACTGTGAATATATAATATTTCATTCTCTTAAATGTTGTGTATTATGCTAATTTTATTGTGATCTATCTATGGAGCTTTATTTTAATAATTATTTATAATGGTTATAGTTTACTTCTTGCTATACTATTAACTAACCAAAGGTTTTATTTTTTTATTAATAAAAACTATTTATTCTATTGAATTTTTATACTGCTGTTAATGCATGGGGAAAGATATTTTAAAATGTATTATTTAACAATTTTGAACAATTATTTATCCTAGAATCAAAAACGAGGACAAATCAAATTGAAAATAATATATCAAGCACAAAAAACACAAATGAAATAACACCAGATTCAAAATACTATAATACTAAACAATTTTACACCAAATCAAATGTTAAACAACAATTATCTGACGTGACTGCTAGCTCAGTAAATTCTTTTTTAAAAAATGATATTCTTATTCTAGATAGTCGTCAATCTGATAGTGGTTATGGTACGTTACAAATGGGTAGCGTTCTTTCTTCCAAAGATCCCGATATTGACCAGTTATTAAAATTAGATTTTGATAAACAGAATAGTATACAAAAACTTATTAAAAACTTTGAATCCAAAGAAATGAAAGAGCCACTTCAATTTCTGTCTTATCGTACCAATGAAGCTCAAATATCGTCACTGAAAAAAGAAGATGTTCAATATTCATTTGCTCAAAATCCACAATCTGTTAGAAATTTGTTAACTAATTTCGAAAAAAAAAAAGAGAGATGTGTGTTTAGTGACACAGAAACACTTTTATACGAAACTTCAAGTGACACTGAAATAATTTTACCAAATATAAATCACAATGGAATTACATTTACTGATGATGATGACCCAGATATTCAGAAACAAAAATATGATTCCAACGATGAACAATATTACTTACCTATGACACCATCAAAAAAATCAGTTTTAGAAGATGATATTTCAAATTCAAATTTATTAATTATAAATACTGAAGATCAAGAAAACTATGTTGAAATGTCTCAAAGTACAAAACCAATATTAGCTCCTTCTTCAAAACTTGATAAAAAATCGCATTATGAATACATAACATACAAAACAAACTCCAATTATGAACCAGTGTATACAGAGGTTAAAACAAAAGTGTTACCAGATATTTTAGATTCTTCAACAAGTTTAAATAAAAATGCCTTGAAATCGGATAGTTCTGACGCTGACGATGAAGCATCAAAAGATTTAGATTCACTTGACACACCTTGTCATCCTAGATTTAGTTTATCAGATACTTTTAGACCAGCTTCTTATTATTTAGGAGCTGCTACGAATGATGATGTACACGATTCATCGGATAGTGATTTAGTTTCCCCGCCTCCAATTAATTTTGAAAAAATTAATGAACTCAAAACTATTAGAGACAAAATGGAATCTCTTATACAATCTGTATCAGAGTCTGACTCAGACTCAAGTAAAAAAGAAAAACAAACTATGCCCAATATTGATTTAGACTCTATAGGAAGTAGAAACGGTTTTTATGAAATTGATTTAAATTTAGATGATTATTTAGAGAAAAAAGCATTAGATGATAGTGATAGATTTTATGTAAATTATTGTAAAAGTTTAGAATCTAAACGTTTAGATAATGTTGAACCTTTAATTGGCGCACCTTATTATTATTCAGATATAGCGAATGAAAATTTAAGTTTATTCATTTCAGAGTCACATAGAGCTGAAGGTTTAAGCCAAACTTGCAGGAGTCATTCTATTGAAGAAATTATTGATGATAATGTTTATTGTAATTTAGAACCAAGAAAATGTACGTCACCTAAAGAAGCAATATCGAGATTATTGCGTACAGCTGAAATGAAATCTCCTAAAACAACTAACTTAACTATTATAAACTTACCATTGAGATCGAGATCTTTGGATAATTTAGATATTGAACCAGGTAGAAAATCTGGCAGGCAGAGTGCTGATGTATTAAGTAATAAAAAAAATGATGCCATGTATGTAAATGAAGCTGTATTTGATAGGCATAAAGAATATAAAGATGATTATAGGACAATAAAAAAAGGCAGATGTAAAAGTGGTTCGCAGTCTTTTTTAGAGGAGGGTCTATACCCGATGACTCGACCACCATCAATGGAACAACTGGACAGGGAGAAATTAAGACAATGGGATCTCATGTCTACTGTCCCTGCCGTGATGCTCAGTGCAACGCGCGCGTTCAATCGTACTTCAGAGAAACAAGTGACATTAACGCCTGCCGAATCAAGCATCAAGCAGCCATCACTAAGTCGCCATTTGGACGAAATACCAGCAAGTTCGCCAGGTTATTCATAAAAACCAGAATTTAATAAACTTTCTTATTGTATAAATAAGAAAACTTATCTCACAGATAAGTTTTTTTATATTTTAATAATCACATGTGGAATAAAATAATTAGCTTTTTAATAAAAAATAATAATTTGATATACGAGTTGAATTAAAAAAAAAATTAATTCTATTCTTTGTATTTATTTTGCTTTTTCAAATTGTAATCTATAGCGTCCGGTTGCGGATCAGTGATTGGACAAAGCCCAGTACATCGAGAATACCAAGAAATTAATGAAATTATTAATAAAACAATGGGAAGTAATAATATTTTCCCAAACAATAATAATACGATGGTAATTATTTGTTCGATATAATTTTTACATTTTAATGTAAATTTAAAAAAATCAATTTTATTAAATATTTTATGAAAAAATTAACTAACAATTTATTTGTGCATTTTTTTTTGTTTTGCTCTATTTCAAATAAAAATATTGGATTTTAATTTTCTTTGTAATTATAACTTATTAAAATTTGTCAGTATTAATTTTTTTATGAAACACTTTATTTATTAGAATAATCAGTGGAATTTGACAGTATCTGCTGGTGAATTACTTAATCAAACTCATGAAGAGTTAGTCTTGCTATTAATACAATTGAGGAGACAAAGAGTTTCACTTTGTAAAGCCATGGAAATATGTCATAACGATATTAAATCTCAGGTTTGTCTTTTTAATAATTAGAAACTACTTTAATATTATATACAATTTTACAAAAAATTAATTATACATTAATATAATTTAAGATATTAGATTTTCACAGGAAGTCTTAGGGTAAAAGTAGGAGTGCATCGGGTTCTGCTTTAAGTCCTTACTTATTATCTATAGTGATGAATGAAATTACTAGAGAATTACAAGGAGAGGTGCCGTAGTGCATGTTGTTTGCTGACGATATAGTGTTAATAGGAGAAATTAGTGAGGAAATTAATCAAAGGATAGAGGTGTAGAGATCAGCTCTTGAAGAAAAGAGTTTAAGAATAAGTAGAAGTAAGACAGAGTATATAGAGTACGAGTTTGACAAAGGAGAACACGAGGTAGATGAAATGAGATCAGTGACAATAGGCGAGGACGTGATTGGAGAGGTGGAGAGTTTTAAGTATTTAGGGTCAGTTGTACAAAAGAGTGTTGGTATTGACGAGGATGTAAGACACAGAATTAAGTGCGGGTGGTTGAAGTGGAGAGAAGCATCTGGCGTTTTATGCGATAAAAGAATTCCAATGAGGCTGAAGGATAAATTCTATAAGACTATAGTTATACCAGCTATAAGGCCCGCATTTAGGGGGGGGCATTGGGGGCATTTGCCCCGGGCGGCAAATTTTGAAGGGCAGCAAAAATCTTAATAGGTATACAATTTTTAAAAATTAATTATTTTTATTTAATTTAAAATTTAAAATTGATGTCTAATGTAAACAAGGGAAATTGCTTTGAAGACTTTTTTTTTTTTTGCTCAACTAAAAAACCCAACCCAACACTTTTTGGGGGGCGGCAAAATTAAGTGCACCGGGCGGCAAAATTCCTAAATGCGGCCCTGCCAGATATGATGTATAATTCATAGTGTTGGGTGGTTGACAAGGGAGTTGAGCAAAGAATGAGTGTAGCAGAGATGAGAATGCTTAGATGGATGAGTGGAGTGATAAGAGAAGATTCCTATCTTCTCTTAAGGAACGACCATATAAGAGGAAGTATAGGTGTAGCGTCAATCGTGGATAAGATGAGAGAAAATAGACTTAAATGTTTTGGTCATGTTATGAGGAGAGAAGAACCGGAAGCTGTATAAACAGTTATAGAAATTAATGTTGAAGGAAGAAGAGGTAGAGGAAGACCAAAAAGGAGATAGATGCATGTTATTGAATGCGATATGAGGACAGCTGATGTAAGCGTAAATGATGTAGGAAATCGTGTCAAGTGGAAGATTAGAATAAGGGTGGCCGACCCCAAGTAATTGGGATTAAGGCGAGGAAGAAGAAAAAGAAGGAGAGAAGAATTAAATACGCTATTATAAAAAGTATAATATATCCTTATATTTATTTAAGATAGTTGTTTATTTTATTCTAATAAATTATTATTATTATATTAATTATTATATTTATTTAATTTTAGACTAGATTAATAGAAATTGACACCAAAATGGAAAATTTTCAAAAACTAGCTGATCTAAAAAATCATTTGCTTGAACTTGAAAAACAGGTAATTAAAATATTCTAAATTAAATATGTATAATATACATTGTATATATATATATAGTAAATTATAATTTATAATATAACTATTTTGACAGTATGAAAAAGGCAAACCTTTAGTAAACCTTGTTGATAATATGGTGAAGTTGGGCTCATTGTACCAAGCAAGTTCAACTTTTAAAAATGACGATGGTTTAGCTACCTCTACAATATTAAAAGAGCGGCTTGAGTTAAATGATAAAATACAAGAAAAGCGATTACTAGATGAAGAAAGTAAAGAATGGCAAAAAATACTACCAAATGTAAATGATCTTCAAGAAAAAGTTGACATGCTTTATGATCTTGATCAATTAATGCAGGAAGAGTCAGGAAATTTAACATATTTAAGACATGATAAAGAACTGTTAGAAAAAGCGCTAGGTGGTTTAAAACATAAAATGAATGGCATACATAGTCCTGCTGAACAAGAACAATACAGAAAACAGCAAAATATTTTAGAAAGAGAACTTTGCGCAGTGAGAACTGTACTAGCTAATAATTCTAAAGTAAAATTTTACCTTGCAATTAATAATTAAAACTAATATATATATTTATGTAAATTTATGTTTGTAGAAATTGGAAGAAACTGTTGTAGCGAATGCGAGGTTAGAATCTGAATTATTAATACTACGCCAAAAATTACAGTCATCTAGAAGAGTTACAGATACAGGTGTTGGAGGTCCAACTGTAGCTTCATTAGAAGCTGAACTAAGAAAAGTACAATTACTAGTTGGTGATTTACAAAGACAAAGAGAGGATTTAAGTGCTCAAGTTCGACAGTTGACAGAAAAATCTAATACACTTACAATGCAAATGAACAACGATGATAATTTAATAAAAAGAAACAAAAATTTAGTGAATAGTTCATGGGTAGAATCTGACTTAGACAATTTCGACCAAGAGGACAAAAAAAGTAGAAGTTTAAGAAATTCTTAATTTTTAAGTTTAACTATGTAATTTTTTTTAGATAACACTTCTAAGGAAAAACCTCAAGAAATTAAGACTGTGAGGATTGTTAAACGTGAATCTGAAAGACGTCAAAGAGACAAATGGTGTGGTAGTAATGGACATCCATTAACAAGTGCCAGTGTAAAATGTGTACCTGTTATAGAAGAATCTGATATACAAGTAAAAAAAAATTATAATTACTGTATAATTCAATTAAAATATCACGTGTCATTTTAGATTGAGAACAGTTGTATGAAAAAATTATCAGCTCATGAACAGTTGTTTGGTTCATTGACAAATTATGTTATTCATGATAACTTTTTCAACTCAACCCATGAAAATTCACTTTTACTTGAAAAAGATAGTCCATTATCACCTATATACCAAAGTGCAGCAGCTAGACAAATTGTCGAGGAACTGTCTAAAAAAGATCAAAATGATGATTTTAAGCAAAATGATTCTTTAACTAAAAGATTAATACCTAGAGAAAAACGTAGACATCACACAGTTACTAGCTTTCAGCCGATAGCTATTAATGATCCTAATAATGTAAGACTTTTACTTAATTTTTATTAATAGCCACTGATAAGTCATAACATTTATAAACTTTTACAATATCATTATGCATTATGAAAGACATTGAAAAAATTTAAAATATTTTAACAATGATTTTATTCAAATTTTATTTTAATCAAACAAATAAACAAAAAATAAGTCTTTATTGAGAAACAATATAATTGTTAATAATTTGTATGCCGGTGATCGCACTCACGAGTAGTGGACAATTTATCGATACGTAACACCTCGTTTCTTATAAAATTATAATACACTTTAAAGTTTCTCTAAAAAAAATACTTTAGTATAAATCATATAATTTGATCGGGAACTCATTGTACCTCAGGGCGCAGGTATCAATTTTATATTGTATATATTTACGTCCTCTCTAATACATATTTAAATTACAAAGTTGAAAAGACGTCAAATTAAAATAAAAATAAATATAGAGAAAATATTGAATTGTAGATAAAAATAAAGGAGAAATAGGATATTGTCATTATAAGTAAAAATTTTTGATAATAAAAAAAACTCATTACAGCGGGAATGTGGCATATTTGAGACTAATATAGATTATATCTGACAGTTATTAAAATTACTATCATAAAAAATGCTTCAATGCAAATCTGTAGATAGTGTTTAACTTTAAGAAATTGGTGGATAATTACAAAACCAACATCAACTCCTATTTCCTTAATTATATTCTGATTAGTGGCTTTATATTTTATGAAGTTGTGTTTTTAACACGCTTATATTAGTTTCACGTGTATGTTGTTTGTTGTTTGTCGTTTGTAAGTTTGTAACTCCACGCGGCACGTGTTATTATGTCGCGTATCCCGTCGTGTATGACCTTGAGACTATACTGTTGTAACGCATTCGCCTCACCCCGCTCACCACTCGTAGACAACAATATTTTCTAACCCGTAGACGCGCGCTTATCATCAATTGTATATATATATATAACAAATTTTTATTGTAATTGACACAGCCCCGCGTCGTTTTACGCCGCGGTGCAAAGTCCAGCAAGTGCCGCACGGCCGACGACGTCCCGCCGCTATACCGTAGTCTTCTTCTCATTGTCAAAATAACATCGTCAACAAACTGATCCGCACTCGCACACCGTCGTTATCTACGCTGCTAACTTTTTGACGCCCGAGGATCACGCCGGACATCTTTTTCTCAGCTATCACCCAACTGATTTCTTTCAAAGATACGTCAAAATATCACAAATCATATCTAGTCAAAGACATTTTATTTTTAAAAAAGTTATGGCGGTTTTAAGTAAAAAAATGTCAATAATTAGCGATTTTTAAATTTGTCTTTTTTTGGAGATTTCCCCCAATTACGAGGAACGAGGAAAATTATTTTAATTTTTGAGGGTAACTAGATACGATTTGTGATCTTTTGACGTATCGTTAAAAGAAATCAGTGGTATCCATCTTCATATTATTCTACCTTTTTTCTTCTGTATCCAGTTCATCTAAATTTCTTTTGAATTCTTCTGTTATATTTTGGATTTTTTTTGTATTCCAATGCACCATTTTGTTTTTATTGTTACTTTAAATATTGATAACACAATAAAAATGTAGACCACACTGCATATAAGTTTCATAGAAAAAATTTTATTTAGCTATTTAGCATTGCATTTGTTTTATTTAGAGGGATGTTTGGAGATCTCGAGATGATGTTGATATGGTTAGAGTGTTGCGTCCAGGTGCTCCAGATGTAGTACGTTCAACTATGAGTACGACTACTCGATTTAATGCCGAAACTATAGATAGTATATTGGGAACACCTGGAAAAATTTGCATACCTGAAAGATACATTCCAGAATCAGCACCTGTGTCTCCAAACGAACATAAAAAAAGAATGTTCAAAGCAGAAGCTATTAGAAAAATGTTATCCGAATCATCATCTGTTCTTACAATAGGTAATATCATGTAATAAAATTTATTCATGACATTTAGTTATAAAATTATGGTTTTTAAATATAAGATAAAGAAACTAATGAAGTAAATATTACTGGAAAAAATAAACTTATAGAAGAAAAGAAACAAAGGGATCATATACTCCAGTTAAATCAATTATTAGCTCAACAAGTAATGGAAAAAAGCAAGGTAGTAGCCTGTGAGTATAATTTTAATTTTATTTATTTATAGATTTTATATTTTGCATGTTTGATATCCAATGTTTTGTTAAATATATTAGTTTTCCATGCTTTGAGTAGAACTATTTTGTTGTAGGTGCGAGTCCAACAAATACTAGAAATTGATAACGCAGCATGAAGGTGTGTTAAATATAGTTTGTTTTTAATTGTAATCACTTAAGTTATTATAAGGAAAACTCAAAAAATAAAATATAAATAACTATGAATATCGAAGGCGACACTTGGAAGATGAGATAACATAAAACATATGTGCATTAAAAATTTTTAAGAATTATATTTAATAAATCTAAATTACACAATAAAATTATATCATATATAGTTATTTTAACACATAAATCACTATATGATCATTTCGACCGCCAAAGTTGAATAAACAATCGAAAATTCCCCACGAATTTTACCGGAAAAACGACACTGGTAATATACACCTTGTTATAATTATTAAAACACATAAAATGTTTTCATATTAAAAATCCTACATCTATAATATTAAATTTTTAAATTAACAATATTTATATAATCGTGAAAAATAATTAAGTATTTTTGTAAAGGTGATGCCGAAGTTCTACAAAATTACTAAAACAATAGAAATAAATAGCTTCCCAACAATCTGAGTCCTGGCACCCGATCGCTCTTTAAAATCTGTCATAGTATATTATGTCATAAAATAGAAACCTATTTCGTGTATTATAATTTTTTATTTTTTTTTATCTTGTTTTTTGGAATAATACCTTATTAGAGAAATCTTAAAATTAATTATTATGTTTTTATTTCAGTAAATGCTATGGCTCAAATAGATTCGACTGAAAACATATTTTCTGAATTTTATCAAGTAGACTTAACACCTGAAGAATTTCTTCCAATATTCCAACAGAGAGAAAACTTTTTTTCGTAAAATAATAAAACAATTATCTTAAAATGTATGTTGTTAATATAAATATATTGTTGTGAATATTTTTTAAATATTTTAAGTATGGTTGTATAGTTTTAATAAAATTACTAATTAAGCTGATTAATTTGTCTTGTTATATTTAATATTGTTATAGCTTAATAGTTAAATTATTAAGAAGTTATATAATAAACAAATTGAAAAACATTTGTTTCCATATACAATAAACATTTTTTTAGCTTTTTTTTGTTCATTATACATTTTTCCATATTTGTAAGGCCAATTTAATTTAGAAATAAAACAAATTTTTTTCAAAATACCAAATTTAAAAAAAAAAAATTATCACCTTGTAAAATTGTCAAAAGAATTGTAGTTAATTCAACTCAAATAATGTATCTACTGTAATAGTTAGAGTAATTAATTAATGTAATATGATATATATTTTTATGAAATATTTCCGATGATACTTTATCTGAGGGAACAATTTCAAAATCTACCTATAATTTACTCATTAAGATTACTTAAGTCTGTAAGATTTTTAAATTTTTAACTGAGACAGAGAAAAACGTACTTATAAGAACTTCATAAAAATTAAAGTGAAATTTCAATTTTTATATAGAACCATAAAGCATTTTTTATGAAAAAATAAAAAACACTTCATTTTGTAGGAGATACACTAAACTCAAATCTTTTTTACACTAATGTCAAATTTCAGTCATAACAAGTCAATTTAAAGGTGGCTAGGCTATATCTACCTTAGGTACTGAGGTTTCCTATTTAATTTATATTCTCTTAGAGGAACTACCAAGGGTCGCACTACAATATATATATAACACTCTTGGTTAACAACGATATAAATATTTATTAAGTGATTGAAATATTAAATAAAAAATACAACCTGTTGAAGATGATAAATCCAACATGGAGCTGACGGCGACACACACACATACACTATATAAGTGGTAGAAAAGTTAAGTTAATTATAAGACAAGAGTAATGGTCGCGATGATGGTAAAAGGTCAACTGTCGATAGGGATATATTATTATGGCACATTGGCCGTGAATTGCAAAAGTGTTTATGTGTGTAGTCCGCCCTCCTGTTAGTATTGTTGTGTGTCAGTGTGTTAATTATATATATATATATATATATATATATATATATTAAACAGTACAATGATGTTTTGGGTGACTGAGATATGGGCACATGCAAATGTGATCGTATCACGCTTCGATACAAATCTGTAGATAATGTTTAATTTTAAACATTTGGTGGATTTTCCAAAAGCAACATGATCTCCTCTTTCCTTATTTATATCTTGATTACAAGTTTTATGATTTATAAATGTAATATATGAATAACTATTTATTATAGCAATTAAATATAGTATAAAATTGATATTTAACAATTTAGTATTGTAATTTTTACAGAGAAATTATAAAGTAGTTATAACTTTTACGGCAAACGTATATAAAAGTTGAAGGTCTTGATGCATTACTTAAAAAAAAAAAATTGTTCGTTATTTATAAATAAATTTACGGGTCTACAAGGAATTTTCATCAGAGACCAAAATATACTTTCCTAAACTCATTTTTTGCGCCGATTTCAAATCTGCAATTAGAGTTTCGCATATGGCCTAAATAATAACAAAATCCTTCTAATAAATATGACAAATATTTTTGTGTTGATTATTAGGTTTCGTATGAATCAAAGTGATGATAAAAAAAAAAGACATATGGTCTATAATTCTTAGAAGTTACTAAAAAAAAATATTGATAGCGCTAGTTCAAAGAGGGCAATCACCCATACACCCCTGGTATATACAATAATTATTAATATTCTATTTATAATTATATTAATATTATAAAACAACTACAAAAAAAATCGGCAGATTATTATTCATGGGAATATGTAAAAAATTCAATTTTTATCAAAATAATGGTTACTGTGATTTGATGTTTGGACAGCATAGTTGTCATAAATGAAAGCTCAATTTTTATCATAAAATCATAGACTTATACATCATATACGAGATAAATAAGATTATTAATACTGTACTATTCTGATAATGAATGTACAAACTTATACACTTATAACCGTCCTTGAAATCATTTCTTATTAGTCGGTGATGTATGTGAAAGCTAAGAATCGAATTTCAACTTTTTAAGTTCAATCTTCTTTTTCTTTTTCCTAACTTTAATCCCAACTACTTGGGATATCCTAATCGTCCACTTGACACAATTTCCTACATAATTTACGTTCACATCAGCTGCCTCATATCACATTCAATAACATCCATCTATCTCCTTTTTTGTCTTCCTCTACCTCTTCTTCCTTTAAAATTCATTTTTATAACTGTTTATACAGATTCCGATTCTTCTCTCCTTATAACATGACCTAACCATCTAAGACGCTACACCTATACTCCCTCTTATATGCTCGTTCCTTATCCTATCTTCTCTTATCATTCCACTCATCCATCTAAGCATTCTCATCTCTGCTACACACATTCTCTGTTCTACTCCCTTGTCAACCACCCAACACTATGAATTATACATCATAGATGGTCTCACTATAGTCTTATAAAATTTATCCTTCAGCCTCATTGGAATTCTTTTATCGCATAACACACCAGACGCTTTTTTCTACTTCAACCATCCGCATTTTAAAACAGCGCGAAAAAATGTAAAAGAAGAGTATATTTTTGCATCTGATGAAAGTTCCTTGTAGTCTAGTGTGTTTATTTATAAGTAACAAACAAATTTTTTTACCGAGGCAGTCCCCGGTGCCACACGTTTTTTATAAGCGTTAACAATATAGAAATATAAAATTACTTAATTATTTTTATAATTCTCCATGTAAATTACAATATTAAATTATTGAATATATATTTCATACTAAATATGATTACTTCATAAATTATTTATTCATATATTATACTTTTAAATCAAAGAACCACTAATCAGGATATAATTAAGAAAATAAGAGTTAATTTAACTTTTGTAATTATTTACAAATTTCTTAAAATTAAAAACTATCTACAGATTTGCATTGAAGCATTTTTTATGTTAGTGATTTTAATCACTGCCAAATATCATCAATACTTATCCTTACTATGTCAAGTTCATTCCATATAGTGTCCTACTGTAGAACCACTTTTTTTTTAATAAAAACAAGTATCATTAATCAACATACAAACTAGAAAATGAATTTTAAAAACAACGTTTAGATACTTTGTGTTTGATAGTTAGGTCAATACCCAACTCAATTTAACCTTCCTATTTGATGTAATTCAAATTAATTGCATTTTAATATTTTAAAATAACTTGAAAATAGAGTATTAACTTATAGGCTACATTATGTCAATGTTTTAAATTCTTTAAATCAGTATTTATTATGAAATATTAATTTAATGAAAATAGAATTTTACCAACAATACTATGACATAGGTAATACGGTCATATTCAAACTCCATCGTAAATGTATAGAAAATTCAAATTAAATTAATTTAATATGGAGAACTGGGAAAATATCAATAACCTTGATGGTTTTTGATTTAAGTCATAATGTTTGAATTAAAAGTTAATGTTTAGGTATTATGAAAATCCTTTAACAGGAAGCAATAATACCTTGATTACATTATATCAAGGTTACAAGTATATTAAATTAAAATTTATTTTATAAGATAAATTAAAAATAATAATGCATTATGCTCATATGTATTATATGTAATAATAACCAAACGTCTCGATTTTGACCGGTATTATCCTTTTAGCATAAACTTGACAATAATCAATTTATTCTATTAGGTAAAATCATTTACCATTATTTTTATAACAGTAGTGGATTCTTCAAAAAATTTAGAAGTAATTATACACATGTAGGAGAAAAATATCATAGAAATCTTCTCTAAAAATTAAGTTGAAAATCACTGAATTTTAAATTGATCATTAACAAAAAAATCAAAATGGTTTTTTGGTGATAAAAAATCATTATATTACCATTAGTCTTCATATTTTATGTAATGACAATAATTTTAATTAATAATTGACATTTAATGTTAATTGGATTAAAAATTATAAGATATGTCAGAGAACCCTTTCTAGTTCATCTTTAAAATTATTTATAGTTATTTTCTAGCTAATACTACATGAAAAAAACTTATTTCATCATGAGTTAAAATCTCATGCTTTAATTTAGAAATACGTATACTCTATTAATTATAATGTAAGGAGCCTGTTTAATAGTTGAGGATCTTGGTCAAAACCAAGAATCGGAAGCTACCCGACGTCTGCCCAAATATCGTTCCTATCTCCTTAAATGAGTTTTAATTACCTGAAGGAGACACAGGCAATCGTGTACCTTAATTACAGGGGATAGATTATTAAATAAAATTAGACTATTATTTTATGTCAACGACAAAGTAAAGTTATATTTTAGATGTTCAGTAAATACAGGGTGATTTTATCATAACCCACTCAATTACTTACAGAATAATAATAATTTAAACAATTTTTTTTATTATTATCTTTAGTTATACATTATTCTTCAATTATTAACTATGTAATACTTTTTAAGTTCATCCCTTATGCCTTGGAGGGGGGTCAACTTTGTTTTTTTAAATGGTAACACATATTTTTAATTTAATAAAATGTTTGAGTTTTTAATTTAATAGTAAATGGCATTTGAATTTTTAATATAACTTTATTAGCTTATTAGATATAAACATTTAAAGTTTCAAAATTTTGAGTTAATATACATGTATAATACACATGGGATTGTAAATACAGGTAGCTAATTGGATTTTTATGACATTGCTGTCTCAGTCACGGATTGTTTATTATCAATTATGATTATCAATAGATATACTTTCTGTATTGTCAGTTAGTGTATTTATAAACTCATAACAATGTGCCTTACTACAATTGATAATAACAATGCTGTGTACCTGCTAATATCGATGTTATAAAAAACCAATTAGCTACCTGTATTTGTAATCCCTTGTGTATTATACCTGTATATTAATTCAAAAATTTGAAACTTTAAATGATTATATCTAATAAACGAATTAAGTTATATTAAAAATTCAAATGCCATTTACTATTAAATTAAAAACTCAAACATTTTATTAAATTAAAAATATGTGTTACCATTTAAAAAAATAAAGTTGACCCCCCTCCAAGGCATAAGGGATGAACTTAAAAAGTATTACATAGTTAAAAATTCAAGAATACTGTGTAACTAAAGATAATAAAAAAAAAAATGTTTAAATTATTATTATTCTGCAAGTAATTGAGTGGGTTATGATAAAAAAATCACCCTGTATAAGTTATATGCAATGTACAATACGTCTGACCTGAATCCTAGCACAGTTGGTTAGTAGGTATATCCAAGTGAGACGGAGTTGGTTGGCTATGATAGCGATTGGCGATAGACGGATCGTTAAATAAAACAAGTTATAAATAATATAAATAAGATGAAAGTAATAGTATTGAAAACTATGTCTATAACGGCCACTCAAACATAATTGCCCTTTGTTAGTTCGACGTCAGGTAGCTCCGGGCTACAGACGAGTAGAATTGTCACATCAGCATCTTCCTCTATGCTAATTAATATATATTACGAATTAAATAAATATAAATAAAACGTGTGTAATATAAGTGGTAAGAACATAGTAATAAATGTTCTTACAATAATGTATAATAAAATATCCCCTACATTAATTTGCCACGAATAGTATTTATAATACAATATATTGACATATTTAATAGTTATTCAATACGTAGTTTGAACATTAATACTCAGACTTTACTCCAGTTAAAAATTACTCTCTTACTAAACAAAAATTTTACTAATCCTATTTTAGGCACATTTACACCTAATTGTTTTATGATAGTGATGTTAATCATTGTCAGATATCAATCTATATTGGTTTCAACTTTGCCTCATTTCCCCTATGTCAAATCCTGAATACAAACAATGATCGTATTACGTGAATCTCTCCCACATACTTTTAGATTCTAACTGTAGTAGAACTTTGTAAGTACTACTTTATTTCGTGGACTCTTTAAAGAAAAATAATTTAATACATTTTAAAGTTATTATATTTACAGAATTAAAAGTAATATTATAATATTAAATACAGATCTAATATAACTTAACAACATAAGTAAATTTTTACTGAGTACAGATATTATATTTTAACATTCAGTTTCTGAAATCTGTATATTTATACGAATATTGTTTGCTAAGTCTACTGCAGATGCTAAAATTTCACCATGGCCACAAAATATCATTTGGACTAGTAATTCTTCAGAATATTGTATATTGTCATTTCTTAACAACTTTAAGGAACCGCATTTGCTTACTCCGTTGTCTGTAACAAACTAATCAAAATAAACAATTATAAATTTAATTTTCAAGTATATATTTGCTTAAAATAATAACCATAATTTCGGTACGATTAAAACGTGATTATTAGAATTATAATGATGCTGTGCATTTATAACTTTTCTTTATTCAACAAAATTTAGTTATTCTGTCAAGATGTCGCAACACCATTAAATTTTTATTCATCATCTAGAATAGTCTGGTATTGTATTAGAATGCAGCTTATCAATAAGAATATTTTGTATACACCAATAGTTCTAATACTAAATACCCACCCGACGGTACAGTTAGAATCTGTGGTGATTTAAAAATTACGATCAATCCAGTGCTAAAAGGTACAGAATATCCCCTGCCTAAAATTGAACACTTATATGCAAATATAAGCGGCTCCAAATATTTTTCGAAAATAGATCTCAAAGACGCTTGCCAATAAATGGATAAAAATTAAACAAATTCTTATTTCAAGGCACACATTAGCACATTTTGATAAAAAATTATCACTTAAATTAATAGTTGACTCTTCTTCGTATGCACGAGGTGCAGTCTTATCACATGTGTACCCTGATAATTCTGAAAAACCAGTAGTTTTCGCTTCACGAATACTATCTGATGCCGAGTGTAAGTTTCCACAAATAGAAAAAGAAGGACTAGCTATAATATTCGGTATTCAAAAATTCTATGATGTTCTCTATGCAAAAAAATTTACTTTAATTAGTGATCATAAACCATTGATACACATATTCGGAGATAAAAAGGGTATTCCAATTTACGCAGCAAATCGTTTACAACGATGGGCATATGTTCTATCATCATTTGACTTCGACATTAAGTACATTAATTCGAAAAAAAATATAGCTGATTTTCTTTCGAGAATTAAAGTCGACTATCCTAATAGCAATAACGTGGACGATCACGACAGCATTCATTTAAATTTTATTCATGAAAATTCACCGTTCCCATTAGACTGGACAAAATTAAAATTGAAATAAATAGAGATCAAATTACGTCAAGAGTCCTACATGCGACAAAAACAGGTGAATGTAGTGACGATTTTACACTTAACAACGAGTTAAAACCGTATGTCGCTCGCAAAAATGAAATATCTTTGGAACAAGGGTGTTTATTGTGGGGCTATCGTGTTATAATTCCGCAAACATTTCAAAAAAAGTATCCTAGCTGAACTACACTCGTGTCACATAAGTATGACCAGTATGAAAGGATTAGCACGATTTTATTTTTGGTGGCCAACAATTGACAAGGACATTGAAAATATGGTTCGTGATTGTTATGAATGTACAAACGTTAGGCCAAATCCACCGAAATCAACAATTACTCCGTGGAAATGGCCTCAAAGGCTGTGGACTAGGATGCATTGTGATTATTTAGGGCCGCACAGAAATAAATTTTTTTTGATATTCGTAGACGCAACTTCAAAATGGTTAGAGGCATTTCCAGTTAATTCCATGACTGCGCAAACTGTTATTACGAAATTTTCAGAGTTAATCGCTCGTTTTGGAATTCCGCGTACAATAACAACTGACGGTGCGAAATGTTTTAGTGGCATTGAATTAGAAAACTACTATAAAAATTAGGCATTAGACATTTAATAGGAGCACCATTCAATCCTACGTTAAATGGTTGCGCTAAATCAGGTGTTAAAATCGTTAAAGAATTCTTAAGAAAATGCTCGTTCTCTATAAATCAGTTAAACAAATTTTTGCTGATGCATAGAAACACACCGCAAACAATAACACACGAGACGCCAGCTACATTAATGTTAGGGAATTCGACTAGACAAATATTTGATTTACTAATACCCCGCACTAATGAGTTAGTAATAGTTAAATTTCTCAGAAAAAATATGACGAGGATAGAAACATAAACGTAAAAGAGGGTGATTGTGTACTTGTAAAAGATTATAGAAATATTGGAGAAAACTGGAAAAAAAGCTACTATCACTGAAAACAAAAGTAACAAAACACACAAAGTTACATTAGATCAAGATCCCACGTGGACAAGACACGACGACCAAATTTGGCCATTAAACAAAACAAGCGGCTCGTTATCCCCCGTAGGTGAAAATACTGACATAGACAACAATGATTATACAGAATCAACCGTACCGCTCTGAAACAAATCTCGCCGTCCTGTTAGAATTAAAAAACCTATTCAGCGTTCCTCTCCATTCGACTACAAATGACAACAAATAATTTTACACTATGTAAACATTTCTGTCTATATGAATGAATATATTATCTAGATATAAACGGTAAACTATAAGCTAAACCTTACTTTATCATTAAATTTCAATATTCATTTATGTATTAGTAATTATTTAAAATTAAAGTGTATTATAATTTTATAAGAAGCGAGGTGTTACATATCGATAAATTGTCCACTTCTCGCGAGTGCGATCACCTTATTAACAATTATATTGTTTCTCAATAAAGACTTATTTTTCGTTTAATTGTTTGATGTTGTCTTTCATATTAATAAATATAGTTTAAAAAAACTAAAAAACACGCTTTTAAAGCACATCGAACTAAAAAGTTAAAAATTATTTTTAACTTTTTAGTTTCATGTTATGATAGTAGTTAATATCAATATCATGGTTGTAACGGGTAACGGGAAATAAGGGTTCGATTCCGGAGAGGGAGTCTAAGAAACGGCTACCACATCCAAGGAAAGCAGCAGGTGCGTAACGTGGAGGTAGTGACGAAAAATAACGATACGGGAATTATCCTCCGTAATCGGAATGAATACACTACATATCTCTTAATGAGAATAAAGTGCATTAGAATATAAGTTTTAATAATAATTAGAATATATATATATATATTTAAAGGGACTTAATTACGTAAACGTATCATGCATGAGGTATAGCCGTGTTTATGTGGGCGGGCATGGCGGAGGGAACATTATACACGAGGCATATACGGCAGCAGAGGCGTCGGCTGTAGGAATATATAAATGAATATTAACATATACGTATATACGTATAAATATTAATATATATATATATATATATATATATATATTAATATTAGCGGTGGCGGTAGGAATATATAATCTTCGCATAATATCGCGGCACTTTCGCTGGCGTCGAAGACGCGATGTCCGGCGTGATCCTCGGGCGTCAATAGGTTAGCAGCGTAGATGACGACGGTGCGCGAGTGCGGATCAGTTTGTTGACGATGTTATTTTGACAATGAGAAGAAGACTACGGTATAGCGGCGGGACGTCGTCGGCCGTGCGGCACTTGCTGGACTTTGCACCGCGGCGTAAAACGACGCGGGGCTGTGTCAATTACAATAAAAATTTGTTATATATATATATACAATTGATGATAAGCGCGCGTCTACGGGTTAGAAAATATTGTTGTCTACGAGTGGTGAGCGGGGTGAGGCGAATGCGTTACAACAGTATAGTCTCAAGGTCATACACGACGGGATACGCGACATAATAACACGTGCCGCGTGGAGTTACAAACTTACAAACGACAAACAACAAACAACATACACGTGAAACTAATATAAGCGTGTTAAAAACACAACTTCATAAAATATAAAGCCACTAATCAGAATATAATTAAGGAAATAGGAGTTGATGTTGGTTTTGTAATTATCCACCAATTTCTTAAAGTTAAACACTATCTACAGATTTGCATTGAAGCATTTTTTATGATAGTAATTTTAATAACTGTCAGATATAATCTATATTAGTCTCAAATATGCCACATTCCCGCTGTAATGAGTTTTTTTTATTATCAAAAATTTTTACTTATAATGACAATATCCTATTTCTCCTTTATTTTTATCTACAATTCAATATTTTCTCTATATTTATTTTTATTTTAATTTGACGTCTTTTCAACTTTGTAATTTAAATATGTATTAGAGAGGACGTAAATATATACAATATAAAATTGATACCTGCGCCCTGAGGTACAATGAGTTCCCGATCAAATTATATGATTTATACTAAAGTATTTTTTTTAGAGAAACTTTATTATAATTTTTTTTAAGGGAAACTTATTTATTTTAGCTTTAATGCGAATCTTAGTGGGTATTAATTTTACTATGCTGTGTTATGTTAAATTATTTATATAATTTTAAAGTTTATTATAATTTAAATTTTTCATGTTTTTTTCTTTACGATATCAAAAGTTGAAATATGTATTGAGAAAAGAACATGAGAACGAAATTTTTTCACAATATATATTGATATTACAAGTACGATTTAAGATAATACTATTGTCCAATACGCTATGATAAGATAGCCATGAAAATCAATTGGTATGTTATTGTTTTCTATTAAATTAACGAACCCGTTTTCTTTCATTTATTCCTGTTTATTTCAGTATCACTTTTAATCAGTAACTGTGATAAATCATTATATGTACAATTTCTCTTCTCCTTCTTTGGATAAACGACCACTATGACAATCCCATTGTAGTATCACATTTTAATACATGTAATAATTAATACTTATATTTAATAAAATATATCACCAATTCAGTGTTCCCCCGTGGATAAGATGAATAATAAAATAATACCCTTACACAAGATTTAACCACCCTCTTACGCATTCCATAAAACGCCCACGTAAAAGATTCTATCACATTAACCAATCAAATACAGCAAAAAAAATATTTCAAGAATCTCACCAGAGATTTCTAAACCAGTTTTGCGGGCTATAAAAAGGCCAAATTCGGGTGGTTCTCTTACGGCGGTTCCTTTAAGGCTTCCCTTCTCTTACGGTGGTTATGTACGGTTTCTGAACATCCCTCTAGCGGACACTGGGACGCCTTGCCATTCTATCTCTGCATCTCTACGGCTCTCTGGAATTCTCAACCAAGATACAAAAAGTGAAATGTGCATGAGTTTATGTTTCATTCTTAGTTACAATTCTATATAAAATCTGCACTATTTTTACCCTCTTTCACAATTACTGAAAATATTACACATCTTATTTTCAGTCGAATATTTTTGGTGAT